CACTGGTTCAACTCCTCCGTGGAGGTTTTGGGATACGGTGCAACAGATTCAACAAGCTCACAGGTTCGTGAACACATCGGATGCATCGAACAGTGTGGCAAAGTCCAGCCACGCTTCCTTAATTGTCGGGGACTTCAATTCGAAGGTTGGCTGTGTCATTGCTGTTTGTGTGTCTTACATGTTCACAACGTTTTACCTCATGAGCATTTGCCTCACTCCGCTTGATGTCCCACCAGTCCGGATGCACCCCTGCTAGCTTTCGTCACCTACCCTCGGCCTCAAGTCATAAATAATAAATAATATAAAATGACATGTTTGATGCCTGGCAGGCCAGGGGTAACCATGCTTCATGCCTTTCGACAAATTGGTCATTAATCAGCATCAAGTTGATTTGATGGGGCGACCTGTGGGATAGCTGGTCCTTGTAGCGTTCAGAAGGGTTTGGGACTTGCAACCTACATTTTGTGTAGTCCAGGGGCACTACCCCTGAATTGTCATTACTTCAGAACTGCCATTGGTTCGTCACATTGAGTGAGACTGCAACTAAGATTAGATCCAGATGTGGGAATAGCTTTTGGGGCGGGAACGTCCCAGCTGTTGCTGCAGGCACAGCTCCCCAGGGAGACCACTGGATGTGAGAAGGCGGGGTCCCCGCTCTTTGAAGCTCGCAGTGGAAGGAAAGTTGGATCGCTGGCAAACCTGTATGATATTACTTAGAGCACTCAGTACTGCTAGGTTCAGCCGGAGCACCTCGTACTTGTCATTTGTCTTTCAAGCCTGCAGGAACCATGCTCGGAATTCTGCACTGCGCTCTGCTGCAATATCCTCAGACATCAAAACCAACGAAGCTGCGCGATTGAAGCCACCCTGGTCGCATCTCGCTTGCTGCAACCGCCAAGCCTTAGGTCCTGTGTTGCGTGGACCTCAGCAACCACGGATTCTCGCAACGTGTTAGATTTGATGCTCGATCGTGGCAACGCCCTGAAGTAGGCCACCAATTCTTGGGTAATCCTATTTCTCATCCTTGATGTTTGCATCCAAAACACGACAAAGCTCCTAGTAGCGTCCTTTGCTGCTACTAGTAGCAAGGCCAGGAGCCCCTAGTAGCGTCCTTGCTCCTAGTAGCGATGCCCTTTGTTACTAGTAGCGTCCAAAAGTGGCTTTGGATTCGCATCTTTGCGTTCTGGTCTTAATGTCGTTGTGGATGTACGCCAACAGGTCTGACTGTGGCAGCCTCGCTGCCCGCCTCCCCGGCTGGTGTTGCACTGACTGAAACTGAAACGGCTAGCAGAGGTGCCAAATGGTTGGAGAGGCATGAAGCCATTGACATGCGATGTCTCGCATGACAGGAAGCGATGACTCGGATGATGGGGAGGCGAACTGTTGTCACAGATGGGAGCTGTCTTGCTCATGGACTCTCATGGTGGGCCATTCGAAGTTGAGATGTTGCGTGCTCTATCACAGTGCCAATAGCAATGGAGATACATCATGATACATCACTATGGCAATCCCAGGAGAGCGAGCCAGACATTGCACCGAGCCATAGGCTGGGTGATGCGACTCAACTTGACAACCTGGAGACTTAGAGCCTATCGGATAATCATGCAAGGAGAAACTGGACACGTGATGGACTTGAGTGGAAGTAAATGGACGTCATTTTTCAATGTGGACTCGAGTTTCTTTCCCAATTCAATTGGCTTTTTCAAATCCTGAGGCTCCGCTGTGCCAAGAGGCCAGACAGTCTTTTGCTGCATTTACACTCGGCTGGCAGCGTGACAACTTCTTCTTTGCATGCAGTCCCGTATATCTAATTAGGCCCTTACATGAATCGAGGCACGTTTTATCAACGTCAGTCGCCGTATTCGCTCGACCGACCGTCCTCACAGGTCTCCTCCACCGACCAGGCGCACATCGTTGAGCCCACCAGAGGCAGGCTGCGAAGAACCTCTCCCCACCTGCCATCATGCGCCCCCTCCCAAAGAAAGGGCGTTCCTCGGCGTGGCCCTATACATGGACATTTTCCCGAATCTGGGGCCGGGATGGGCTGGGAGATTTTGCTTTGGTTGACCGTGGGAGTGAATCAGTTTTGTTGGGGTGGATGGGAGGCCGAAGGAATTCAATGCTGTCTGAGTGAATTGTGCATTTAGACGAATGTGGCAGGCTATTGGGTATGTAGCCCGTTGACATTTATTGACATTTATTTGGCTACCCCGATTGAACCTGTTACACAGTGCGGAGGGCCGATCCCGTTTCCACCACCCTCTGCTCCAAGAGAGACGCTCACAGGCACGATCTCGGATGCGATCGATCTACGCGAAGAAGGGACCCGCTCCACGTGTCGGCCTTGGGACCGATGGACCCGCTGCGTGGCACGCAGTGAAGACTGATTCCGTCACATGGTCGTCTTGAGAAGAGTCAGCCCGGCTTGTAAAGAGGGAAGCCATGAGGTTTGCGTGAGAAGCTAACACTCCTGGGCTGAGTCACCATCCTCACAGGGGAGCTCCCGCTGTTGGAAAGGGAGTACTTTGCTGGCGTCTTGAATTTCACAAGAAAAAAACAGATAAGTGAAAGTATACAAGCTGGTCTCTTCTCTGAGAGGTTCAAACATGTGTGCCGCTGAGGCTGTCATAATTCCCGCCCACCATGGGAGTTAGCTAGGCGACAGTCAGTCGGTGTAGCTCAAAACCACAAGATGGCAGTCCTTTCTGAGGTGCCGAAGTGGTCCCTCGCAGAGCTAGGTATGCACAGCTGGAGTCGGGAGTTTTGCAGAGTGATGGGACTGGAAGGGAGAGACCAGTAAGACTTGAAAAGATGGACCCCCCAAAACACATCTAAGCTTTTTGTAAAGTAGCAAGTCTTACATGGTCGATGTTGGCTTATCAGCAGGATATTTGACCACCTGTTGAAGCAAGCAAGGGCGCCATTGCAACAAGCAAATGGCACGGGCTGCTTGCTTCTTCCTGCAAAGGCTGAACTGCAGGAAGGGTGTGGTTTGTTTCGTAGTTGTTGCCGGTCTTTGCCACTCCTAATGATTTGAAGTTAAGTTTTCTGAAAAATCTAGGAACCAATTCATTAATGCGAGCGTGAGCTATCCTGCGTCCATGTGTAGTAGCGTCTCAGTAGCTAGGAGCGTGTTCAGTCCCTTACTTAGTTAAGTAAGCACCTACTTAATTGATTAAGGGCAGCCTTAAAACATATGAGCTCCTTTTCTCTGTGTGATTTTTTGTACCTCAGAGCGTTTCATCGGTTTTGGTGGGAGGCCTTCTCTCTCCTCTACGATCTCGAGCTCTGCCTGAGTCTCAGTGGCGGATGAGTCGAGCTTTTTCATCATGTTGTACTTGAATGCTTAGCATTGCTTTGCAATACCAAGGCCAGGGATTGACACATGTTTTTGGGTATGGTCCTTGTGCATTGTTCTATTGATGCAAGCTCCTTAGGAGCTGTGCTGTTTGAGCTAGACAAACATGGGGCGACTGCTAAGAGACGAGCCGCTGTGGCCACACAGAGCCCAGGTGACTGCTGCTGCTCTTCCGCCGCGACCACAGGAAGCTGAAGGGAATAGCCACATGGGCGTGCCTCAACAACCAGGGAGATGCCAGGAGACAATACAACATATTTCCGAGAACTCAGATGAGCATAGAGTTAAAGCTTATTGGTTCAGGGATGTTCAGGGGTTTCCTCTTCATTCTTGCTGCAATCCCCAGCCCTCAGACATGGTCCAGGTGCCAACTGGTCCCAGCAGGGACGATGTACATCAGGCCAATTGGTTGCCTAGATGTGCTTAAGACAAGGTCCGGAGAAGTTCAGATGTTCTTTGCAGTGCGGTTTTCCCACCCAAGAAGAAACACACAAACGTGTACAAAAGCCAACACTACCGCCATTATCAGGTCATTTGGACTTCGAAATGATGTTGATCGCTTCGAGCCTGTTTTAGATTGAGCCGCCTTGGAAGCGCTTCGGTGGTTGGAACTGCTAAGGCAAGCAGGGTCGCGGCTGAGGCACGCGTGTGCTGACGGGGGGATATGCGACATGCAGACTTGGTGCTTGTGTTACGGCGTGTCGCTTTCGACTGACAGGGGCCCCAAAAGCGATTCGCACTTGTCTCATGTCATGAGTTACACCAATTCCTTGGAATGCGATGCAGCGCCGTTTTGCAGTCGCTGCAGCGTGACGTCACAAACCTCCAACCATCCTTCCCTTCGATCTGGCCGGGTCTGTGCCCCAGCCCGCTTTGCCTCTTGGCTTTGCCTCTTGGCTCCTTTTGCTAGAGGGTGCGATCCAATCTAGTCAAGTGATCATATAGAATCATATAGAGACATAACATGAGATATCCACTCTGTTTTAAGATTGTGATCACTCAGCTGAGATGCCTCAAGACTGATGACTCCTGTAGCATCATGCAACTGTTGGTCTTCTATGCTTCTACTTGTGGCCATGCTCAGTCCAAACCAAGCTGAGGTGACGTACAAGTTCAGCCAGTATGGTATGTCACTTCCCTGGATTTTTGACTCCTGGACTTGAAGGGTATGCAATGGCATGCAACCGAATCTGACATGCAGGCCATGTTACCAATCTTCCTCCTTGGCATTCGGATGAGTATGGGTGCATGTATATAGTGAGAGAAAACGCTTTGCATGATCTGAATTTGAATCAGCACATCAGCACCGGCACAGCAGCCAGGCCCATTCGTACACCATTGCCATCCAGCCGTGTGCGGAGGGCCGGATCACTTGGATGCTTGCGTGCTCGGGCGCAAATATTCCCAACACTGAGGACTAAGAGAGACGTTTCTCCCCGTCCCCCCGTGAAGGTAGGGTTTTGGGCCGAAGCTAGCACCTGGAGCGACATTCCCAGATAAAGCCTGGCTTCAAACCTGCGGCCTCAGAGCTGCATCTCCTCACCCCTGAGGCCTCTGTGCCAGCAGTGACACGCAAGGAGGGGGGCCCAAACCGACGGAACAGCTATACGGCTATGCGTGGAGTCTGGTAGAATTCGCTGGCCGGATGTTGGAAAGACATGGAAAGACCTTTTTATTGTACGTACATTGAAGCGACAAGATTCGACGCGTGTAACTAGGGCTGCCCTATCAAGCCAAGTGGCTTCTTTCGCAGTTCGATTTGGTCAGGTCTCCCCGTATCCCTTTGAGGTGCGGATCCGGCCCAGGACTAAAGGGGGGGCGCTTCACTTGAGTCAGACTGAAGAGCATTGACAAGCGATAAAACTGCATGCAGACCTTTTTTTCGAGAACAGAGTTTTGGGTTTATGGGAAGCTGCTTTCCTTTTTTTGAGAAGTCCGAGACGTTATTCAGTTGTAAGTGGTGACCTCAGATTGATCAAGACGGTAGGAGGACTTCTTCTGTGGCCTCGTCGCGGAGACCTTCGGCAGTTGTCTCAGGTTGACTGGCAGATCTACCTGTGATGTGAATAGAAAGCATACAATATCACCATGTTCGTGCGTTTGGAACGCTTGACCATAGATCCCACCATCCTGCTTGTAAGTGCCACAGCCACCACGACCCAAGGAGTCCAGATGTCAATCTAGAGGAAGTATCGAAGTGCATGAATGCAAACTCAGGTTGAAAGGTGCCAGTTGTCACACTTGCAGCCTGTGTTGTGAATCCAGCACAACTCTTTGTTCGTAATACAGCGGCTTGCTTATGGTAGGTTTGACATGGCTTTGACTGACTTGGTTCGGCATTGGATCGATTTGGCCACAAGAGTGGGGTAGCCACTGCACGGAACTGCTCCCAGGTTTGGACAGAACTCTCCAGGTTAGAACCCATTCACGCCATCGGCTCCAGGGTAGGCAGGACCTAAGGGGAAGCCGGGACATCGCGTCACGCTGCTTGCCTGCAGCACATTGCAGCACCTTGCTATCAGAGATTCCCAAGTGTTGCTTCAGACAAATTCAAGTTATTTTTTGACCCCTTGGTAGGGTTATGCTGCTACTTGTGTAGGACGGGTGTGGCAGCTGACAGAAATTATTGCCAGGATAAAGTTGTGAAACTGATCTAAGTTTGCGCTGAGGATGTCAGACCTCAAACTCGATCCGGAGGATGGCTTGGCCGTCCAGGACTTGTCCACCTTGGATGCATCTTAGCAGCAGAACTGCCAAGTGGTGACCCATGCTTAGCCTAATAGTGTCCCTAGTTGTTGGATGAAGGGGCAGCCGTTCAGCTCAAGACCAACGACCATCAACTACAAGAGGATCCAGGTTTCTTGATTCCTTTTGGTAAAGTAGGATAGCCTCCTCTGAAAGTGACATGGCAGTGATGAAGCCCACGTGAGCCGAGGTGTCCAAATTGACTCCATTGACTCCGGAGGTGATTAGCAGACAAGCAACCATGAATGTGGCCTCGGCTTCCGTTTTGTGAAGTCGTTGGGAGACTGATGCGTACGTACCATATTAATTCGATAATGTTATTTTGGCTGTGCCAGGTCGGGACCATTGGTCATGTGGCACATGGAAAGTCTACAGTGGCCTGGTGACAAATGGGAGCTGAGCTATGTGCAACCACGGTGGCCATTGAATTGGGCGGTGGATACCCTGCAGCCTACCATGTGTTTCTTTTTTGGGTGCAACGGTTGTTACTCATTGTATGTAATATAATATAGGAGTTATCTCTCCAAGTTGTCATGCTGGCACTAGGTGAAGGTGGCCAGGCCCCTACTTTCAATTTACTGTAATTTCACGGCCAGCAATTTGATCAACAAGTAGCTGGCCTGTGGCAGCTTGAGAACCCCATTCACCTGCGGGTCGCTTTGGTGGTGCTGGTTTCTGAGGTTGTGAAGGGGCTCTCTGGAACTCACACAGTGAAGTTCAAGGCCGAGAAAGAGCGCAACTTGCAGAGCAATCAAAGGGCTGTGTCCAGGAGACATATGTGTCATTTCTTCAGTGGTTTCGAGCGTTGAGCCTTCTATTCTGTTTGTTGTGATGAAACTTACAAGAATGAAGTCGGTTTTGCAATTGTGGACGGCACAGTGTAGAATTTGCGGCTGATTGCGGCTCTTCTGTTGGACAGCACTTTGCACTCTGAGGTAACATTACCATCAAGCTTGGCTATGCCAATGCCAAAATCTATAAAAAGCAGTCGCCTGAAGAAGATGTGGGGAACTCGGCTTCCTTTGAACACGTGTAAGCCCGTGCAGGGGGGGAACCCTGAAACTACTGGCGTCATGTTCTTCCGTAGTGTCTCCCTTTTTCTTCACAATTGTGTACCTGGCATTCCCGCATGGTTTTATGATAAAGCTTCGGTGGAACTCTTGATGCAGGAGGACCACCCGTACACGTCACGTGGTAGCAGTGCACCGGATGTCCTGGAGGATGACTACAGGCTGGGAATGAAGTGACCAAGTAATGCAGGACTAGACGATCTTCAGGACTTCAGTTGCAGGTTGGTGCGTCACGTGTCCTTCGTGGATTGCCCGGGCCACGTGGAGACCTTAAGTCTTAAGTAATTTTCGTGGCCTGTTTTGTTGGGTGTGCGAGCCATAGGAGTGAGCAACTGACGCCTGAGGACATTCTCATGGCCACAATGTTGAATGGAGCAGCTGTGATGGATGCTGCGCTCTTGGTCATCGCAGGCTTTGATGGATGGGCACATGCATGATTGCATGCTTAGCGCCCCCCCTTGCAATAGCAAGGGCATCCTATAAATAAATTTCAGTTTTCAGGTTTAGGCGAGAACCAGCAAGCCATTCTTCATCATTTCATCCCTTTATGCAGAGCCGATTTGTTGAGCACGAGCGGCCAAGTGCAACCGGGTGCGTTTGGAGGAAATGAGACGTGCCCTCAGCCCCAGACCTCTGAGCACTTAGCTGCTGTTGTGACTTGGTGTGAAGAAATGGGGATGCCATGCTGAAAGGGGACAGACCTAGAACTCAGACAGACTTCGCAGAAGTGGTCCAGGTAAAGGGGGATTTTATTTTGCATTGCTACAAGATGACAAAAAGTCAAAAGGCGGCTTTTGCAGATGCGGGACGGAGGTCTCGTGAGACAGCTTGTTTGCTTACGTGCATCTTTGGGGATGCTGGACTCTTCTCCCAGGAGATTATGCGCTTGAAGCACATCATCATCCTTCAGAACAAGGCGCCGGCGGCACTGCTACAGAATGGAGCTGTTTGAGCTCTTGGCTGATGATAGGCTGTGAGACTGCGGTTCAACTCTAGGCATATATCGCAAGGTTGGTGTATATATTTATGTGACATATCCACGGCTCCAACTTAGTAACTCAGCTGGATACCAATGAAAGCACAAAATTTGCAAACAGTTGAAACCATATTGTCCAAGTTAATATTGCCTACTCTGGGGATCAACGCTTCTTTGTGCAATGCCTTTGGCTGCATATAGACTATATGACAATACTAGACTATATATATATACTTATCAACTTATTGTCATGACATTGCCGGAGCTTGGTTTGACAATCTCACTGTCTGTTGTCGCCTGATGACAGGTGGAGTTGATCAAGCAACAAGAGGCTGAGTCGCGCTATGAGGAGATTAAGAAGTTCGTGGCAGGCACAGCGGCAGCATCTTGGAATATTATTTGGGCATCGATCTAAAGGTCCATGAAAGGAGTTTCATATGGAACAGCCATTTCGGTTACTAAGTACCAACCGGGCGAAAGATCGCGAAAGTTAAACACAGGGCTCGCGAAAGTAATCTTTTTTTTTTCGCGAAAGTTCATGTAACCATGTATGTTATTTGTAGGTAAAGGGACCCTTATTTGTTTGCTTACTGTGATTTTTTCAGACCACCAGCTCAGAAGGAAATCAGAGTCTTCCTTTAACTACCATATATACCCATGTACCCGAACTTCTTCTGAATATGTAAGATCATACTTTGCGAAAGTTCGCGAAAGTTAAACATGGGGTTCGCGAAAGTAATCTTTTTTTCGCGAAGAGGCACTTTCCAGATGAAAGGAATTTAGATCAACCACCATTTCCGAAAGAGTAGCTAGCGGAGGCCTCCTGATGGAGCTGGTCCATGCTGGAACGAATATATAACATCTCTGCTTTAAATGAGGGAACAGTTGAGCCTAGGCCTATGCATTACAAACCGAAAATACATTAAAACCACTGACCTCGAATCATTTGGGAATAGTGAACATACATCGGTCAAGACAGGTCATTGTGGTCAACACACCTCGTGCAACGACGGTTTTGCTTTGCGTTGTGCTGCCATATGTTGCACAAAACTGGTTACTGCGAATACGAATGGTACGAAGTGTTTTCACCTCCTGCACCAGGCAACTAATGGACTCCTAGGCACGGGAAGCGATGCAAAGTCGCTAAGGACTCCTCACCGATCATTCCAATCAGCCACTTTCCTCGCACTGGAGTAAAGTTGGCAAATGCTTTGGTTGCTGAGCAAGTGCAAGTTCTTCAGATAACTGCTGGGAGTAAAACTGCCATGTTGTTCTTCTCCGCTGAGCAAGGTGCAGTGTTGAAGTACAACTTGGACGTGATTTGCCACTTGCCATTGATGTGCAGGCTTCGGCTCCAACCTTTCACGCTCACGTGCGTGCCATGTGGGGTTTGGCAGGGTGCTTGACTCCGGATTTGTTGACGTTGTAAGTGACATGTTTCTTGAGAACTACTTTCCCTGACTGCATCCCCGCCCGTCGTTTGCATAGCATTTCAAAAAGTTTACTTACCTCAACGAGCACATCAACCATGCTTTCAGCTTCACATTCTCTCAGGTGAGTACCTCTGTACGCAAGTGCCTATTCCTCCGCGAGACTTCACCTCGAACCCGGTGATGATCATTATCCGATCGTTCGATGTGAATAGGCGGGATGGAAGCACACGCAGGATCGTTCGATGCACAGCCAGAGGTTGATGCGAATGGCGCCAAAGAAATGCGGTTGATGAATATATATTGAAGGAGCCATTTTTTGGACCTGTTTGGACCAAGAGTTGTGAAGTCCAGGCCTGGTGAGGAGGTGGTAGATTTGAAGGGTGGCGTTGCCGGTGGCTCCATTCTGAAGGGCGTGACTTGGCAAGCACCCCAAGATGCAACTTGAATGGATCATACTTCAAGAACCCTAAAGTTTACGCTTCTTACTCTGTTCCAACATGACACTTGCGCGGTCTACAGCGGATCGGATTAACACGTCCATTTTGCGTGGCAGGTACAGCACGGTCAGATTTCCACACCCGTTTAAAATTATAATATTTATAAGGCTTTCAGGTGTGGAAATCTGACCGCAACTGAGGTATCGACATGTTGCACGTAGGATTCTAAGGGGAAAGGGTTTGTGATGTTTTAGAAGTCAAGAAGCGCAACTTTTGGCACCCCAGTGTAGTTACAATGTTCAATGTCAATTATGTAGATTTATATATGTAGTAAAGGTTGCCTAGCAGATTATGCATCATCATGCAATATCATGCATCATAAATGATTCAAGCTTGCGGTATGCGAAGAGAAGGTGCCTGGCCTACAAAGCTTTCAGCTGTGTATTTATTTTGCATTTGGTTGCCAAGAAAGTATCGTCATGGATACCAGGCAAGTGTATAGCTTTTGGGAGAGATGTTGTGCTGACATTGCTTGCAGTTTGTTCGACATAGTAGGTGGGCAATGTTTGCCATGCTTCTGCCTCCCTCTTCATTCAATGCAAGCATTGTCCGTTGCCCCACTCCTCCACGGCGCAAGTTGTCACTCAGGTCCTCAAGATGGGAGATGAGATTGCCTCTCAGCTGTCAAGACCGTGTTGTGTGGGTCAAGATTGTGATCAAGTAGGGGATGTCATGGGGCTGCCGACAGGCTCTCAGAGCATGTGTTGCTACCGCCTTGGGCACTAGGGGTGGTCTGCGCTTCCAGAGCAAGCTGAAGTGAGTTTCAAGCATTGTGCCTTGAAGACACCCACATGGTGCAGTGTTTAGGCATGTTTAGGCAGTTCGTGCTCCAACCTTCAAAGAGAAAGCATGTTCAAACAAGAGGCAGTTGCGAGAGTCTCAAGTTTGCAAGACAGTGGTGCTGTAGTCTCAAGACGGTGGCATGCCGAGTTGTCGGCCACGCAGTGCTGTCGCCCAGGAGATTAGACCTGGTATCGTCACAAAGGACGGCGAAAATGTGCAGTGCCGTCCAATTCGCAGTCGTAGCCTGTCAGAGCAAAGGTTTGAGTTCTGGTACTTGCAAACCATTTGGAATTTTATATAGTATTTAGATGGCAGCAGTTTCTCAATCATCTCAATACACCTGCCATTTACTTGAGTGCTTCAGCTTTGCAGGTATCATGTCTCTCCTAGCTGAGAAGAATGCTCTACAGTTTGCTGTACCGGGTGGTTTGATCGGTGTCGGCACCAAGATCGACCCCAAGCTCACACGTCACCTGGAAGCAACCAAGGTGTATTGGAAATTGGAAATAGCCTAGGTTGGCATCCTGGAGCATAAGCTCATTGAACGTTCCGTGTGTTTGTTCTGGTGGAGTGTTGTTTGGGAGACTGGTGGATCGTAAGGGGGAAGCGCATAGTGACATGCTGTATTTTTGAGGTTATCATCAGATACTTATCAGATCAAGTGATCATGCATGACACAAACATGTGTTCTGTGGCCACACTGCTAGCCGCTAGCCAAGGCGCAGACAAGCTGGTTGGCCACGTGTTGGGCCATCCTGGAAAGTTGCCAAGCTCCTTGGGTGCGTTTGTGGCATCATGAGCACGGGGTGAAGGCCCGCTAGTGACAACCTGGCAAGGACCGCGATACATGTCGCCACTTGGGGCGCCACATGTTGGCTTACATTTCAGTTGTTGGGCGGTCCCAAAACCTCGTCCCCGAGGCATCTATACAGAGATTGAGGCGTGGAGACCGTGTGGAAGTTTCCCTGTGACCGAAATGCCCTGGCTGAAGTCAATGTCAGCTGCGCACCTGAAGTCAACGTCAGTGAGCGCCAGGTGAAGTTCTACTTGCTGCGACGTTTGTTGGGCGTGAAGACCGAAGGTGATGGCAAAGCCGGTAAGGTCGCCAAGCTCAAGAAGGGTGAGATCCTGATGGTCGCTTGGCCTCGCTTAAGAAGGGCTCATGCAGATGTTCATGGCTCACCGCTTCTGAAGACTGCTTCTTCACTGCTTCTCGCAAAACGAAAGTGCATGATCTCTCATTGCTTGAGGGCAGGTTGGAACAAAACCAGAAGGAACCATGCGTGCAGAGCCACCAGTCTTTTGCCAGGTGAACATTGGATCCACGGCAGCTGGTGGCCGAGTGCGCCAGGGGGCGGAGTGGAGGGAAGCACCGGATTCTCTGATGCAAATGGATGAAGCGACATTGGTCGCACTGATGAGGGGCCATTGGTCGCGACATTGTCTATGGTGATTGACCCTCAGCAGGAAGAACGTATTTTTTCTTCTTATATAGCTGTTCTTACAGCGTCTATGTGGGTCAGCCCCGGTGGCATTAGGAAGTCCTTTTTTAACGTGGCCAGTGTGGGTTGGTCAATTATCACCCACTTTTGAATCTATAACATTCAAGTACATCAATGTTCTTGGGAAGAGGAACATCGATCGCTAGGTGCCATAAGTGTGTTGCAGGATGCTGCAGGATCAAAGGGAAAGGGTTGTTAATTTGGAGCCCTCAAGACGAACAACTTTTGTCCTAGTGGTGTATATAGTCCATTTGTTGGTTTTCATACCCAGTTCTCCTTCCAATTGGTTAGGAGGATGACTTGATTTCTCTTTGTTCCCTTTCAAGCCTTTGCAGCTTTGTGGGGTCCTAAGCATGCATTCCCTTTTCGATTCCCAAAGCGTTCCAGAAGCACAAAGAGTGCGTGGTCATACTTTTGACAGGTACTGGGCATCAAAGAGGAGACGGACTTTGCTAAAATCACACTGACCAATCCTGCAACTCGGCGTTTGCAGAACTGAGTCTTTACTTTAATATCTAGAAGTTTAGACATTGAGACCCATTGGTGCGAGACTTCAACTTCTTTTGATCCTAAGTGCATACTTAATGACACGGGATTCATGATCTTAGTAGGAAGTGCATTCAACATTGAATGAGATGAAATGACAAGTCAAAGGTGTCGCTTTATATTTGCTGTTATGGTTCTGCGACGTGTTTTTAACATACTTCCTTGTTGGGATGCCTAGATTCAGAAGACGTATATATATATATACAGTGCTAGGCTATAGAGATGTTGGACTAGAAGGGGCAGCGGTGAAGGGTGGGGGAGACCGTAAGGAACTCAAAACACGTCCGTGCAGGTGTGCACACAGGATGGCGACAAGGTTGCGCTGAGCCGAAGGACTGATGGGGAAGGGGATGGACTCACTAACATGGAAGTGGAGAACCCCCTGTTCGTAAAGGAAAATAGTCTTCCAACTTCCAAGGGACCATTTTCCACTTCCATGTTAGTGAGTCAGAGTGTAGATTCGTTACAAAACCAGCACCAGGAGAAGGCCATGGTGCCATGGCATGGTTTCATTGAAGGCATTTTCCGTGGGGCTATCTCATAGAGAGCGATGTGGTCATGAGATGTGGCTTTCACTCTGATCTTGATCCTTTCTTGCATTTCCCTTTTGTAAGGGCAGCTCATGGCGTTCTGTGCAGGATTGATAAGCACTGGCGGCTCATTGGTTGGGGCAGTATCGCAAGAGGCACCACCATCAAGCCGATGAGCGACTAAACCTGCCCTTCTCGTGAGCCGACTGAGCGGAGGCCTTTTCGCAGTCTTTACGTGAGCAAAGGGAAGAGCTCAAGTGAAAACTAGTTGGAAAGCCAGCAGCCCGACCAAGTGTATGAGTATATCTTTAAAAGGATATACAACTTTGGAATTCGCCTTGCCACCCTTGGCCGGGAGATGCAACCAACCAATCAAGGAATCTTGCGCTCTTTTGCTCCGTAACCCAAGCGAACCAAGCAAAACAGGGACCCTCAAGGACAATTGAATTGAACAAAGGTCCTGCCATGCTCCGGCGTCCACATTGGAGGTAACATGAACCCTCCACATCCGCAGATACGACCGTTTTGTGCCTAGCTGCCCTGGTTGATCTGGGATATCCTGTCCTGCGCTGCCTGCGCCAGAAAAAGAGCTGAGAGGGAGAGAGAGAGAGAGAGAGTGGCCTGGAAGAACCCAAACCATTGTACCAAGACCAGACCAGGATCAGAGCCCCTCTGCAGATCAGGCACAAGCTCTGGATTGCCGCAATGCTGTAGGACCTGGCGGTATATCACTTGACGTTGCCATGCCCCGTTAGGTCTCTTCCTCTGCTCCTGTTTGGCCTCTCTACGGCACATTGGTGCTGCACCCAGCTTGCACTGACTGAGTCGTGACTCCATTGCCCCTCTTTGAAGCTTCTTAGTAACAAAGCTTTCTAGTAACTAGAAGCTTCCTTGGGAATCGTTTCACCTGTAGTAACAATGAAGCTTTTAGGTCTTTGAAGCGTCTTGGTAACGGACCCTCAGGATGCCTCGACAGCTTCCAGCCTTGGCGGCAGCTTGATCTGCAGCTCAGGCGGGGATCCTTGAGAAAGCTGCGGCCACTCAGGCCTCTAGTGCTCTTGGCGCAACTGATTTTAGCACATGTCATACTATCAAGCTGGTTGACCCTCCAGGTTGCAGAAGAGTTGAGAATCTTTAGTGCTTCTTCTCATGTCTTCCCCCACAAGAGACAGGACGAGAGACAGACAGATCTGTTCCAATTCAAAATTAGCAGAGTCATTTTCGGCGCACTACTTGAAACCCGACTTGCCTTTCGAGCTTTGCACTGGCATCCTCCAGCCACCATTGTCCTCGGCCACCAAAAAAGGAACCAACTCCACAAAAGACTTGTACTGTAGTAGTGACATCGCCGGGTCACATATATAAGTGCAAATTTGGCGGGGTGTACCCCGCAAATTTCCTTGTCTAAATTACTTTATATGTACCGATACCTTTTTGCATTTTGTTTGATGATGTTTGATGATATGATGATTGTGGATGTCCCCGGGCCCCTTTCATACATCTCCTTGTGTCTTGCTAAATTTTGCTGTCCCAACCTGTGGTCGGAGTTGAACGGGCCCTTGCCCTTTGCTTGGAATGGCCTGTGGCACAGGGAGGCCCAGAAGGCGGTTCGAGCCAAACCCGAAATCTCCAAAGCCACATCATCCCACATCCCACAAGCCCAATGTCCCCCACACAAGCTTCGCAATTATACAATTTTGGGCCGTGATTATATCAATTGCAGCATGGAACCTCGTGGTGGGCATACATTTGGCCTTGAACCTGGACCAGTCCCTCCCCCCCTTGTTTCATACAAAGTGCTAGATTCTTGTTGACCCTGTCCGCCCTCCTGTTCATACAACGGCTGCGAATGCCCAAGAAATGTAGATGCGCGTGGGGTGTGCCCCTCCCCTATGCATACAATTCGGGCCTTGATGTCCCCCCATACCTTCAGACATAAAAACACCAAGAGAACAAGAAAGATGTATATTGATTACTCCGTCTTTTTCCTTAATGCTCAACCCCTCCCCGTTCCAACAAAACTGGTAGACACCTGTCCCCCCCAAATACATACATTGCAAAACATGTCGAGTTTGATCTAGTGGCCATGTAGTGATGATCCCCAGTAAGCTGCAGCTGCAGCCAGTTCAGGTCGCACCAGGTCGCCCGTCCTGGCCTCGGTTGTCGAGTGTTGAAGCAACTTTGAGCAGCTGATTCTAGTAGCGATGGCCTCGAACCTACTAGTGATGGCCTCCACCCTACTATGTAGCTTCTTGCTACAAGTAGCTTGTCACAGGCTCATAAGCCATCATAGGCCCAGGAGGCCTTGGAGAGCGAGTCGAAATATGAAGAGGAGGCTTTCATGGACGGCCGAGGTTGCCTGGACACTCCCTGTTCATGTCGGTTCACCACTGCTGTCATCCAGGGAACGTCTTCCCATGGCGCAGGCAGGGGTGGGTATACACCAAGCCGGCATTTGGTGGCCTTGGTGCCGCAAAGAATAGGACGAACTGTGAAGTCTGAAAGGTGGCAATGCACAAGAGCCAGGCAGGGACACCGAGGATGACTGGATGTTGTGGAGCTAGCTTTGTGAAGAAAGTGCTTCGCCTAAGCTTGGGAGGTTCTCATGAAAGTGTTCAAATTTCTTTGGAGAGAGCCAGGTGTTCCCACGATCCAAACGGATTCTTACACTGCCCGAGTGAAGTTCGCCGGTCCCGAGCATCTGAGATCGCCAGCGGCAGTACCAGTACGTATTCTGGAGCAAGGCCGTACGGGCGGCAACGACGACATGGGAAGAGGTTTTCAAGCCTTGGTAAGCATCGTTTTGTTCTGCAACATCGTGAGCTTCTTGGCTTGAGGGTTCGGCAAAATACTGAATAACAAAGGATGCTCTTGTACAGATGTTTTTTTTCTGGTCGTCATGCTCCTGGCTTGCAATATGAAGCTTTTGTGGCGCACCCCCCGACATGAAGTGAAGATACAGATGATCCGAGAGCTTTCAACCTGTTGACTTGCGAGCAAATTAACCTGGACCTGTCTCTTTCCTTTGTCATGCAGGAAGCATTCAAAAATTCTTTAATATGATCAGGCGGTTCCCCTCGAATTGCATCTAGTTTGCAATGAAGAGTGATACTCTAATATCGGCATTTGGAATAAGGCCAGGTAAATGATCCGAAATTTATTGATATCGCCCGGGTGGAAAAGGGACATTTGACCGAACAGCCTGGTCAGTTGTCCAAACCAGTCAGGGGAAGTTGCTTGTATTGCAGACGCTACTAGTAGCTTCTTGTTACTAGTAGCAAGGTGCATTGCTACTAGTAACAAGTGCATGACTGCGAGTAGCAAATAGCATCAAATAGCTACTAGTAGCTTCCTGTTACTAGTAGTAATGCACTTTGTATCTCATTGTATCCCCAAAGTTGCCCGTTCAGCGACTGCCTGCTCCCAGTGCACAGAGCTCGGGGACGCCTCCTCAGCTCAGCTCCCCTGCAGAGACGCCGCCCTTGGCACCCGTGCAGGGGGCCCAAAGGCGTTCCATTTTTGTTGGCCTCCGAGGACATCGCGTTGAAGGGTTCAGACATCCCCCTTGCTGAACTGTGTAGCTTTTTGAACTGTGGATGGTACATTCAGCACCATCACTTGGCATTTTGGTAACGCCCTGATTGAACCTGCTGGTTTGTCTACCCTTGAGGCTTGAAGCATATACTGTGCCTTGGCAACACATGGTTTCTGGGCGCATGTTTAAAGAATTTAGATAGTATATAAAGATTAGTAAAGTAGCCTGGCAGAGCCCTCAGAAAGACATAAACTAAACTGGTATAGCATGACACAATCACTTGGTATCCAACACCTAGCAGCAGATATTATGTAGCTTGATTTTTCAGGCACTCTTTTCTGCAGCCTTTCTTAGTTTCATGCGCTTCCAGAATCAATAGGTTCAATAGGCCTCAACGTCCAAGTGTGCAGAACCTTGCAGGAAGGCAGCTGGGATGGATCTACACGTTTGCAACTTATATAACGCTTTCTTCATTTGAGGTGCACTTGGTGTTTTGCTTCGAGCATTCAACGTCGCAGTCCATTGCTCACACATTTGCGAGGCGTAAAGGTCGTCCGTTTCCGTGCGAAGCTAAGAGCCTTCCATCGTTTCCGAGAAACAGAGATTCGTTGCGATTATGCGTGACTTGGTAGATACCTGGCAAGGCCAGGGGTCAGCCAGCATCATTGGCTCACCCGAAGTCGCTTCTGCCTAGAGCTCAGCAAGAAGCAAAGTCACACTGATGAAGGGCACAAGAGGATACTCTAAGAGTCTTACAGTCCTGAGTCCTCACCATTTGCCCATCAAGCCCATAATTTCTTTGCATGCCAATGCTACTCCACTGCAAAGCTTTTTTTGGCGAGGATGAGGCTGAGAAGATGCAGGCTTGCGATCGTGAGCTAAATCCGCGCTCCGGGATCTATGGAGGACTGCTGGATTGGTTGTTCATGTCCGCATGGCGTGTGCTTCTCACATGCATGTGGGCTCAACAGACTGAACGTTCAACTCCCCATCGCGTCCGAACGTGTCTGCAAGAAGTGCTTCGACTCGTGCAACGCACCGCCGACGTCACCGAAGTGCTCGCCGAGGGGTTCGTCAGGGGTTCCGACCGTCCGACCGGTCCGACCTAGGAGCCTAGGGAGGCGAGACGGAAGGTATGTGGCTGGGATGCCAACAGCCCTGAAGGCCTGTCGCATCCATCTGGTTCCTTGCTGGCCCCCCAAAAGCTACTAGTGGAAGATAGTGGAAGTGGGCTCCGCATGTCCATGAGTTGATGGGATGCTGGCACAGAATGGACTCTAGAATGCACAGATTTTATATATAAGATTTTATCAATGGGCCGGCAGGTGTCTTGCCATTTGACATGGTGTGCCGCCACCTCAGGTGTTGTTTGGCACAAGGAGTGCACTGTGTGCTTGACCCTTGGTGGGTCCCAGAAACCATATGCTTGGCAGGTTTCTCTTGCAGCACATCTGAATTAGGTGGAAATTAGACCATTCCTTCGGCTTGCCTCCTCCTGCGATGTGCAGTGAGCCAATTGAGAAGATCAGTGATCGTTGGAACCGACCAACTGACAAAAACGATCAACATCAAAAAAACCGATCTACTGGTTGTATTTTCAGACAGGTGAGACTATTCCTTGTGTTTTTGGAGTGGCAGCGAGGGTAGTGCCAATTGAACTACTTGTGTCGCACGAAGAATTTCCGCTTCGTCCGACTTCGTCCTGGTTCCCCAAGGGCCACCTAAATGGGGTCCAGGGACACAACAGAGTGCACCTCGAGGTTGTTAAAAAGACATGTGACATTTTAACATGTTTTGACTGATTATTTATTTGGGACCCAACTATTCGGGAACTTTCACTCTCAGATTGCCCTACACAAAAGATTATCCTTTCTAATAATGGGAGAATTGTTGTATAAGTATTGGAATCCAGGAAGATTCTCTTCTACAACTAGACGAGGGATGGCCCCTGAGCGTTTAGGTGTAGAGTTAATTACTCTGTAAGGTATGCTTGTATTACGATGGGACAGTAAAGTAAAGAGCGTTGTGAGATGGTGAGAGAGAAATGAAAGAGAGGGCGAGAAAAGGATGAGATGAAAAACATGTTCACAGGAGCAGGGAAGCAAAGATGTCTTCCTTCCAGTCGATGTTCATGCAGGTTGGTATGTGTTTTTTGCAATACAATGTTTGGATTCACATCCTGCCCAAAAGATGTCCTCCAGTCGAGGTTTAAAGCGTGCGTTTTTGCAATAAAAAACAAGTAACATGTAAGCATTCAGGTCCTGGTCCAAAGATGTTTGAAGGCGGTGTTTGAGCAGGTTCATGCGCAATTTTGCAATAAAACGCGTGGCTTCAGGTCCTGCCCAAGATGTTCCAAAAGCGATACAGGTTTATGTGATTGTTTATGGGCAATTTGTTATGCCCTTAAACAAAAAAACATATGAAGATTTCTGTATGTGTATTTGTAAAGAATATGGTAATTTAGGATGATATTATCCAAATCGATGTTTATATCGATTTAAATTAAGATTCTTCTTTCCAAATTATATCAATAAATGTATGAAGATATAATTTATGTTAAATTAAATATATATTTATAATATATAAAAAATAATATATATAATATTTATATAAACATATTAATATTTTCTTTTTGTAATATTTGGCATTTTATATTTTTAATACATATTTATTGAAATATAATTGTAATATATTAATTTATATTATGTTAATATATATTATTTACTTAATTTTTATATTTGTAAATATTATTATATTAATATAAATTTATTTCTTTATATATTTTATTATTTGTATTTTAATTTAAAAGATTACAGAATTAATTTCATTTATGTATCGCGTTATTAAATCATTAAATTTTATATTGAGGTTTTTGTTTTATTTTTTTTTTTTGTGAAGAATCGGATTAATATACGCGACAATTCCTCGTTTTTGCCTCTTAAAATTAAGGATTGAAATGCACGATTCTTAGCAGATTTTTGTATCCCATCCGAATTAAACAAGCTTTATTTCTTGCCCAAATTGTATAAACAAATCTCGAAAAGATATATAAAATTCTAAGCATTTATAAATATTTCCTCGAAAATTTTATTAAATTAATTTATACCCCAAATCCAATGGTGTATCCGATTTATATTCAAAATCCTTCTATTTATCAAAAAAATTAATAAATAAATAAAAATCGAATTCAAAAATAAATTCGATTAAATTATTATATAATTTAATATAAAAAAATAATTCAATTAATATCGTAATTTTTTTTTGTAAATCTAACATAAAATATATTTATAATTTATTCATAAATAAAAACATAAACAATTATATACAATAATATCTTTTTCATTCCATAATCAAATAAAAGACGATCAAAATTCGTTCTTCTTCTTCAACTAAAAAATAAATGTCATCGGTTTTAAAATGGACCTCATCATTTTACAATATTGTAAATTCGTCGTATATTTATAGTCATATATAACACTAGGATTATCAATTTTAAAGAAGACCTTATCGTTTTGCAGGATTTTATATACAAACCTATCCCTCTTTATAAAAATGATCTTCGCATATTTTGACCGTAATTCGAATATATTTTATATATCAATTAAATATTTCAATAATATATATATATATATCATAAATAACATATTTAATAAATACTATATATTATATTATTAATATCTTCTAAATTCTTTCATTTTTAAATAGATATGATAATTATCAATACCATTTTATCCTATAATGGCGATTCTACGCGCAATAAGATAGTCGTCGCGAAGCATGGACCTACAACCGTACCTAGCTAGCATGAATCGATATATATTTCTGTTTGTGTAATCATTTCTACAGCAATGATATGCTAATAATGTATTATTACTATTGTAATGAAATTATTTTGTTGTCGAGCTATTTTTTCAATTTCAATGGATATATTTATCCATTGTTTTCCCTAAAGGCCGAAGACAGAAATCCAACAAAGAGTGATAGGGTGGATGAATCTATCTCAAATTGCCAACCCTTCAAATTATGTGTATCTAAAATGAAACTCTGAGATTGTGGGAAGAAAGTATAATCAAGATCTGATGGCGTGTGAGATGTTGAACCATATTCTTTTGATATCTTTTGCAACTGTGCGATGACCGTGTCCATAACATCATGAAAAGGATTCAGTGAGAAATTGCTTGATGGTTCTGAGCCTCTGGCATTCCCCACTCCCGGCGCACCCTCAACCAGGATGAAATGGAAGCGCGTCCTGGCCAAAGAAAATAACATCCAGGAAGTCCTTTGCAACATGATTCACATCTTCCTAGCTTGCATACAATCTGGATGAAATTAGACAAGCACCAATCATGCCATTCCCATGTGCCCAAGGCGCAACGACTATGACATACTGTTACTATGAATGCTTGTTATGGGGAAAGGTCCAAGCGCACACTAACCCGCCCCAAAGGAGCCGCTGTCCTTACTCAGCAATTAGGCTTGCAGCAGCATGCTTGGTGGAGGCGCTTGACGCCTTGAGCACCAAGCCCAAATCTTTGTGATTTTGAGAAATCGTGAAGGTATCTCAGGATTGCCAAACAAAAGTTCAAAAGTAAACAGTTCATTTCTTCTTTCGTGTGCTTCTTTTGATCAATCTTTGGACTTTTAATGACTTTTCCATCTTTCTTTCTCTTTCCTTACTCATCCTCAAATTACCTGATCGACTAACAAACTAACACATCACTCGTCCAATCTCTCTCTCTCTCACACTCTCTCTCCCTCCCTCTCCGCCGTTCCAGCTCTTCTTGGGATGAGTAACAAGTCTCGACCTATCCTGTCCTTTGTCAGTTTGCGCCTCCTCTACAGCAGCAACTGGGACCCTCCGTCAGGGAGCGTTTGTCCCAAAAGCCAACAACGGTTCAGATCCGTCAGGTCAACTTGAACCATGATGAAACATCTGCCAGAATCCACGCAGCTCAGCTTCAGCCCATGCGACATAGATGTCCATACCTACCTTGACCTCACATCGTTCACTAACTTTCTCACAAACGTCTAGAATGAGACTATCAAATCTCAACTAAGTTGCTCCTGACGAGGATTGACTGGAGGGAAACAACATTGAGAACACATGACTAGCGACAAAAAAGAATCTTTCTGCCTTGCGCCTCTACAGGAATCTTTTGGACTCAGTTACAAGCCCATACAAGTCCCAAAAAAGTCAATCTTGCGTTTGGGACCCATTTGTAGCTGAGAGCAGGTAACGCAACTCAATTTGGAGTTCCTGCTGTTGTGTCCACACTCTGCACCTGCCAAGCTACCAAACAAAGATCGCACTGCTGAGCCTTCGCAAGTTCAATCGCAGGCTTTGCTGCCCATACTCGTCGACAAGCTTGCCCAAAGACTGACTGTCCTGCCCAGCGCTATTGTCTTGGTGCAGAAGCACTTGCGATGCAATCTCACTTGCCTACTTTCAATCTCTTCGGAATTGGCCTTTCAAACATTCGGAATTCCCAACACGCCTGACGAGAAGTATTTATTGCACACATGACGGAAACCCTTCTATGTTTGTGTTTTTGCACTTCCGTCCTTTGACCTCAAATACAAAGATAATTACACAAAGATCACAAAGATTGGCATGATCATGTCTACTTGATGTTTCTCTCTTCAAGTCTTGTCAACAACAGCATGACCACACGAAGAGCATACGGTTTCTGGATGGGGATACCATCAGCCTCCACTTTGCAGCCTGCAGCCAGCAGTTGCCTCTGCATTGGGCCGTGCGAAAAACTTGCACCTCTTCAATTTAATCATCCTCATAAAGTTGAACGATAGACTGAGTTAAATTTGTTGATTCAATTTTGACACAATACGTATGAGTCTGCGAGCTTACAAAAATACATAGTGCTAGTAATGCTACATAGGATGCGTAGCACTACCTGCATCATGTGTACTAATTTTCCGGCTCAATATGTACGTGTATAGATGTTTCGCTGCCAAAATAACCGCCCTATGACAAAGCAAACGCATGGCTGATTTGCATTTTTTGTTGGTGAGAGGCTTTTGGGTCATGCGACCAAGCTGCAGCTCATATTGCTGCGCGTCCCCCAGCCCCAAAAGCACAGGAAGAATCCTTGGACAGCTCTGACATGCAATTATATAAATAGATCGAAGTTCATGTGGGGAGGCCAAGATAGCAATAGGATGTGGGAAACTAATTCTCTCTTGGAAGGGATTAAACGTTATCTAGTTTTGGCTTGAGAAGTTGGGATCCTGTATGATCCTGTCGTTTTAGAACAAGATCACCAAGCAAGTCCAGTGCAGCCATGTGTCTCCCGCAGTGATCTGATGGTCATATCACGTGGCAGCTGTTGGGCCTCGCAAAGCTCTGGCAATCCTGTGTATAGAGATGAAGCTCTCAAATCAAATCAAAAGGAATAGCTAAACACAATTCAATTGGTCTTTTAGCCTGTCCGATCTCTGGAATATCCACGGATCAATGCTCCTGCACTACATGTGTTCCTGCAATGCTATCCTTTGATGTCAAATCTGCTCATCGACGCAGTGCCAGTAGCGGGATATATTCGCTAGCATACTTACGAGGGCTACCTTTTGTGGGAGAGCTCAAATGTCCCAGTCATTTCAGAATACGTGCAACTGACCTCAAGGTCACACTTCATCGGTCCTGGACTCTCGGGAAGCAACTTGACCTCAACGCGGCGCAAGGTCTCCTGAATGAAGTCGCGAAGCTCAATACAATTCTTTCTACACGAGGCTCAAAGGCATAACTTTTGCAGAAAGGGCGGACCCCAACTTCTGACCTCTGTGAGTCTGCTCCTGGCTATGGCATGACATTCAATAACTCCTGCCGCTATGGCATGACATTCCCCTCCTCAGCGGGCGAATTGGCCAGAGCTTCTTGATCAGTCCTGCAGGTGGCGGCCAGGACTCGTTGGAGCCATGAGCCTTGACCCAACCGCCTTTGGCTGCCCCCCCCCCAGGCAGTACCTATATATATATATATACACCTTCTACACGACTCTACATGCCTCTACAATATTTTTGAGATCATCAGTTCTCATCTTATTGAACACAACTCAAAACACCTTCTGGTGCAACTGGGCAAATCTATCGGAGTCGAAAATTGCGTTTCGGATCTTTCCGGATCAGCTTGCAAGCGCGGATCGTGTGTGCCACGTGAAAAGAAAACAGCACAGTAAACGTTAAACACATTCCATGGTGCCGTTCCCAGCAGTCGTGAGGTTCAAGAAGTTCAGCTGTGAAAAGGTGCGGAAGACTGAAGCCGCTGCAGCTGGCAGATCCGATGGAAGAGAGAATGCTGGCTGATGTGCTGCGTTGTGCTCTTTCATGCTCTTTCCAACATCAGCCCTTCAAATCCAAACTATCCAAGGCAGAGATTTTGACAGACTTGCAGGTACTTTTTATTCAAACGCATGTTTCTGTCTTCTTTTCAAAACCCGAAAGATCAGATTTGGGTCGACAGGGACATGCTCCAGCCTGCTCAAAGATACTGTATCTTAATCTTATTCAATTCGAGCTGAATCTAGAAGGCAAAGCAACTTTACACACTGAGCACAGGATCCTTCTTGGAAATTCTGACGTTTCTCGAAGCCTTTGCAAATGATAACAGTCGTGGGCTGCAAACAAGCATCAAAGAAACCATCAGGATAAAACGCCAAACACTATGTGTATCCAACTTTCCGTGTGGGGCAGCTTTTTGTGTTTATGCTCTTCCAACTGGCTATTCAAACTTCTCCCACCTCCTGTTTCATGAAGCGAGCGAACCTGAATTGCATACAATGGCTGGGAAGGAAATGCCCAATCAAACAATGTGTACATTATAAAAAACATACATATATATATATATTAATATATGATACTATATACTTATATATGTCACCACTTGGCCGTGCAGCGCACACTTGTTGCAGCATAGTTCTGGGAGACGTGTTTCTGTCAGTCTTGGCCTCTGCCTTAGGTTTGATGTACTCACGGATAGTGCCTCTTGATCGTCTCCGTGACATGCATGTCCATGCATGTGCGTTCACCTTCTGGATCTGGTTCTCTGTGTCATCATGGAGATGGTAGTAGTGGCCGCTGTGATTGTCATCCTAGCTCTAGCTTCTTTAGTGGTCCTGGTACTTCTAGCCAATAAGAACCCAAGGCTCAGCGGTTTTCGTTCCATTTCTGATCCGGGCTTTCGTTTGCAAACATCATCAAACATCATCGTAGTTCTCCCCCATGGCATCACCCAAAACTTCGGGGAGACACCAGGACAAACATCCACTCTGCACCCCTTCCGGACTCCAATCACTCCTGGAAGCTCCGTAGCACAAATGAAGAACGCTGTATTGCTTTCGGAAATTTATTGAACAAACCCTTCCAAGAGAACAAAACGGTACGAGTCAGTGTGTGTCCCTTGTCCCATAGTACAATCATGAGTCATTTGCTGGCTTTGAATACTTTTGATACCGTGGGTCATGAGCCCTTTCCTTTCCTTTCCTTCGAACTAGCTCTCCACTCGACATGGGTCCAAGGTGGCGACCCAAGAAGGCACTGCTCGTGCTCCCAGGCGTTTGGACAATTCCTGGCGTGAAACAACTCACCAAACCTTTTGGTTGGTTGGTTGGTAGATGTTGGTCCGGTGATTTCAGAGAGGTGCATGAGACTTGGAGAAATGCCATGCCAATCCACAGTCACGCATGCACCGGAGTATGCTGACACCGCCGTTTTGTCAAAACAGTGTCAGCCAAGCCAAATAGGAAAGGGATAGACAAGCAGCAGCTGCTTCCAAAACAGCGTTCTTGAATCTTAAATATATCCATGTGTTTGTGGGCAAGCTTCACGAGAGAATATACAGGATTACAAGAACACTCTTTGCACTGCTTGACACTTGGTTCAGATTGGTCGTACGCCTTCACTCAGGGCTACTGCTCTGGGAAGCAAGCTGGCTGTGTACCTTGTGTCGTTTATTCAGGAAACTGACGGATCAACGCGCCCAAATCTCCATTTCGATTCATTTCAACCACAGTAGTTACTGGATGCTAGTATACATCCAGGCAGTTTTTGAACGTGGCAGGAAGGCATCACAGAAGTGGATGCAGTTGCAGTGGATCAGGTCATACCTGTCCAACTGATGCTTGGAGAGGATCACTCAGGCAACTGCCAACACAAACACATGTCCGTAGGCATCGACCCACCATCTTCCGATTTTCCGAAGTGGTCTTAAAGCAGGTGTTCTTCCTCAAGCAGCTTGGTAACCTCGAATGCTAATCTTTTGGAGTCACCGCCCGCTTGCCAGTTACAATGGAGCATCTTGACACCTTCAAGTCTTCTGTCGGCATTTCAGTCAGCATCTACCGGAGACCTTGTTGAACCCGCGAGACTTCGTTGAACCCGCGAGACTTAGTCCAAGCTGAACCCCCAAAAACACCCAGGGATCCGAGTGTCGATTTGTCCGAGCCGTGAACGACGCACCGTGGCACCACGGCCCACGAAACGGCCTGCCACCAGGCCAGGCTTTGGCAATCTCCGTCTTCATGATGCGGATGGTCTCCGCCTCCTGGTGTGGAGTTGACCGTGTCCCACGGTCCGGAGTGGGATGCGTGTAAAGCTCGGCAAACAACATCAAACAACCAGAAGTGAGCTTGTGTCATTTTGAACATTGAATGAGGGGACATCTGGCTATCCTCATCAGGAGCAAATCCTTGGCTTCATGGTGCACTTCTCTGGTTAAATAGAGAAGAACACAATTTATTCATATTCATTCCACAGACAGTGTGGGCACACTAGGGGTTCTTACGGTGGTGGTTAAGGCCGGGTGTCTGATCGGAGCTTCCCACATTGATTCCGTGTACTCGCACCAAGCATTGCTCCGCACCAAGCGACTGAGGCGACCGATGTCTTTTGGGGCGCGTCCTTCGATCAATCGTCACCCGAGACCCGCAGAAGGAGCAGGGCGATTTGGACTGAGCTGGTCCAACCCCAAAGGGTCTCCAAGGTGTCACCTCCAAGGTGTCTCCACACGAGGGTCGGTCAAACAGCAGCTTTCTAAGACACCAAGAACGCTTCCGTTCGGGACACTTAGGTAAACCGTGGTAAACCAATCCGGAACCAGGAGGACCACACCCTTTTTGTGACCCTCGTGGCGCACAGTCTTTGCTTGTGACTGGCAGACTCTTTGCAGCGCCATTGTCAGTTCCACTCAAATGTGAGGATCCTGAGCATCTTCGTCGAAGCGACCGGAGGAGTCATGAAACATCTGAACGAGACATTTTCACGAGCGACTGCAATATGTGTGCACTGAAGGCTACTGAAGTGGCAAGGGACAGTGACCAAGTCTTCTAGGAGATTGGTCTTTTGAGGGTCCATCAATTTTCTAAGAAATCTACAGGGAACCAGGCATTTTGTAGCTACAAGGAAACGCTTTGCAAATGAACCACACTTGCCTTCTTCTTTTGGCATCGCAAGCCTGGAAATAGCTATCCCCACACCCTGCATCATGAAACGCGAAGCTGAATCTTTGGCAGGACCCAAATTCAGGGTTACAAGATTTCTGACCACAACCTAAATCGAGTCATAGACAATAAGCCACCAACCTTTTGCAAAGCACCCCCGTCACACAATGCAGCCCAGCAACGACGGTTTTGGCAAGGCCTGGTCCTGGGAGTTCGGCGGATCAAGACTGTTTCATTTCAAGCGCAACATCAGCCGTCCGTGATAAAACATCCTACCCTCCCAAAGGCTTTTGGCATGGACTACCAGCCTTGGTGGCAAAGAATTCTATATACAGACTCTCAACCAGGCGCAGATCTCAACCAAGCTTTAAGACTTGGGATCTCAAAGTCAAAAGATGTTGTCCAGCCCACCCCCTCTGCGCACGCGGTGTCAAGGTCCCGGCCTGGGTTGACCTCCCGCAGATCTGGGACAAAGGTTCCTGGAGAGCCACCAAGCCCAGCCCAGCCATGGAAGTACTCAATCCTTCAAACAACATACAAACCCAGCGGGGTTTTAACGACTTTTGGCAATCCTGTTGTCTATTTCTGAAACAGGTCTTGGCACCGACCTACAAAAGGAATATGCATCCAACCCACAAAAGGAAGCTGTCTCCTTTACTGCAAGGGCGAAATCGGATATCTTCGGAGAACTCTAACTTGTCTTGTCCCAAATCCCTATGTTGTGGAAGAACACAAACTTATATAAATCATGAATCTGTTTGCAAACTTGTGTGAGAAGGGACCTTGGATCGGTTTGCTAGAGATCTTCTGGAGGAGCTTCACGAAAATAACACTTCAGCCCCGACAGGTCCAGAGTCCACTCATTTACATCGCCTCTTAAATGCAGCACTAGCTATATGCAGTTCAAGCATTGGATCTTCTCATGTGGTCTTCATCTTTAGCAAGACCCTAAGAAATCAATAGCTAGAAGTGACAGAACAAAGAAACATTACAATACTAAACACAACGGACACTCCTGGCAGTGCAGTTGTCTTCTCAAATATGTCTTAGTTCTGAAGTCCCTTTGCGATTGAAAGAGAAACCACGCTGTCAGGCATTCCCGCAGGGCATTCTGTTGAAAACCCTTCAGGACCCCCAAAAAGATACGTGTGTTTTCGGAAGTCTGTCCCCTGGGGGAAGGGTTCAGTCAAGACTCTGGAAAGCATGTCTTTTTCCTGTTAATATTGTTGTTTTTATCTACTTCTTGACCTTCTTCTTCTTCTTCTCTTTCTTTTCTTCTTCGTAGAAGAAGACTGAATTTCCAATTCAGCTTGATCTCTAGCTTGCTAGGGATCGAGTTTACCAGAGTCCAGTTTGACTCCAGTCCACAATGTTTACTATATAAGTCTACTTTACCTGAGATCAAGTTTCCCTAGAGGAGAGATGAAGATGAAAAACAGAGCACGTTACGTTTGCCAGAGCTCTAGTTTAACACAGACCTGGTTGGCCATCAGGCTTATCGTCCCCTGGTGGAAGTGTTCGGCATTTTATTTACCGGATATATACTTTGCCACATTATAGAAATCCAACTCACCAAAGATCTAGTTTGGCAAAGATCCAGTTCGCCAGAGATCTTTTTACTGTAACTAGGAATCAGGACGGTCGCTTACCACAGATCTAGTGCACCATCCGGTGAACCAAAGGTCTGCTTTACTGTCTAGTGTACGAGTAGCAGCCACCTATCTCACCAAAATTATACTTTACCAAAGATCTAGCTTGGCAGAGACCCCCTGAACCCAGAATTCCATTGGATCAAGGATCAGGGGATCAGGATGGCGAAGAGATCTACAGTAGTTTACCATGACTCTTTCTTACTAGAGATCTAGTTTATTATCTGTTTTTCAATTATCTAGTGTACCAAAGGTTTACCATCAAGTTCAGCAGCGACCTAGTTGCTTTGCGCTTCTGCAAAAGCTCTTGCTTGGGTTCCTTGTAATTTAGTAGCAAAAACTGTCAACATCCAAAAGATCAAAAGACTCCCAAGGCGTTCTTTTTTCATACATGTTCCAAAGCGACAAAAGTTCAATAACTGCTGTTCTGCTCCATACACGTGTATTTGAACACCTTGCAACGACAAACTGAACCGAAAAGGGGCCCCGACGTTGGCCGAGGGCACCCTGGGCAGGTGCCGCCAGATGCGGGGTGAGCCTCATGCGGTGACAGCGAGCGAAAGCAATAGGAGACCAACGACAGAGACAAGAAATAGCTTGGCCAAGTTGGTTGGGTGATGTTTGATATTTTAGGAAATATCATGGCAATGTTTAGCGGTAAACAAATGATATCCAAATGAGATGCTGTGGATTTGTTTGTAAATGGGTTTGACATCGTTTCACGGGTTTCTTCGGTTGACGATAACTGTTCTTCAAAGAAGATTGCAAAGCTCACATCAGGTGAGGTTCGTGCTTAATCCAGTCTGAAGAACTCTCAAACAACACCTGATGCATGGATTTGTGCCAGCTGCTCGGATCATGGACCATGCCAACCAGCACTGCCAAGTCTTTTGGTGCCAAGTTCTGTTTTTTGCTGCAAGGCTATGAGGCCATCGACCCCAAATTAGTTAAAACGTCTTTGGAATCCCGATTCACACCCTTGGGATCCCTTGGGAAACCGGCCAATCCACCGTCGAGATCACGGCCACCGAAACACCTTCGGCGGCTGCAGGGAACAGTTGAAACGATCGTCAAACATTGACATCGGATTCTGCAGTTAATCCGGAAAAAAAAACATACACATTCATCGACATTCATCGACCTTCATCGACTCGCGACTCAACTCACGAACAACGACGAACAACTTTTGGAACATGACACCCAAGAAAGGGGTACCCCATGGTACCCCCTCAAACAGGGGAAGAACACACAGCTACTTGATACCTAGTATTTTTTGGGCTTCTGGGATGGTACGCAACAAAATTCAGCTTGAGGACAGAGCTATATTCAAGGTTACTCTGCTATGCACTTGCCGAGCTGAAGGGAAGCCAATTGTAATGGAGCAGTTGGACACATTCAGGTTCGTTTAGGACATATATATATATATATCATATAATATAACATAATATAACTACTCAAAGCCTGAACAAATTTCGGTGCAAAGATGGAACCAAGTCTAGAGCTCCGTTTCAGCACATCCTAATGTGGGACAGTCCAGTACATGGAGCTGGTATGGGTTCAGTTCTCCAAATCAAAAATTCAGGCATAGCGCGTTAGTGCTGCGGTATCCACGGTTGACGAAACATGTTCCATCTGAGCTCGCCCGACCAAAGGCAATGAGCAGGAGTTCAAGCCAGTTCGCAGAGGAGATCCAAGACCTTGAGAGTCGTTACTCAAAGACGCAGAGTCACAGCGCAGCGAGCAACTGGGCATGGCGATCGACAAAGATCCACCATGTTTCAATCCGGGAAATTGATGCCCAAACATGTCCCTCATGACTTCAAACAAGCTGATTCAACTGACCAGCATTGAAGAGTATAGAATCCTTGTGCTCTCCTGCACTCCCCAGGCACTGACCAGCTTTTGTATCTTTCCGCTTTCGGCTCGTTGCCGTGTCGTACTGCATCGTCCAAACACAAGACCAAGACATGGGAGGCTTACGACAAGCTCACAAACACAAAAGTCTAGGACTCTAGGAATGGCTTTTAAAAAGCAGCGGTCTGGGTGTCTAGAAGTCTAACATTGCACCAGTAACTATGAGCCTCCCACGTACCCTCCACATCTCTCTCTCTCACACTCTCTTATCTATGTGCCAAACGGATCGAAAGGGCTACATGAAATGGTTTCTGCAGAGTACTGCTTTTCCATCTGACGTCAAACAGCCCGACGTAGCCCAACAAAGAACATGTCAGACTTCCAGTTGCTTTTCTGTGAACAAGACTTTAGTTCCGAAGTCGACAAACATCGCAGGGGCTAATGAATAGTGGCCAATAGCACAGGCTAATACTAGCAAAGATCCTACACACCTACATATGTAGCAATCTGCAATTCCAACCTGGAAACACTAGCAGTCCGCAATGCAACCGCTAGCTTTCGAGCACCCATTTGGAGCCTCACAGTCTTGACACTGCCAGTGTCCTGAGGTCAACGCACTCCCTCCTGGCGACGTTTCACTAAGAGTCGTGATGCGACAATGCCGCTCAGTCGTGTGTGTCCTTTTGTTCCAAACTTGAAAAAGCATGAAAAAGGAAGCACGTTGCAAGTTACAGGGCAGCAACCCCAAAACCACCTCTGACAACCTATGACAACATTGGACACACAGGAGAAACATCACCTGAAGTTGATATCCTTCACTCTAGAAGACCCCCTTTTGGCCCAACGCCCCTCCTGACGTCTACGAAGTTCGATCAAGAAGGAGCAGGGCAGGATGAAAGCCAATGCCTTAAATCATCCAAGCTGTCTTTCTTGTACTTTCTTGTACAACTGCTCACCACCGTGTCTCCACCTTGTCTAGTTTGCTAAGCCTTTGCCTGAATGCTCTAGAAATATCTGGGCATCTGCGGACTCTGAACCGCGAGAAGGACTCTACCAAGGAACTTAGCACCGAAAGCATTTGCTTTTGAAACCAAAGCATCTCTTTTAGGTTGAGGATCCAAGGTCCAGGCCATTGTCGCCCAAACCTCAAGTTTGAAGGCACCCACGGCGCTTTGTCCCTTACCCAGGACGACTGTGCCGCGATGCATCAGCAGTATACTTTGTAGAACAATAATTACTTTATAGAACAATAATAACTAATCATTATAGTATACATTTATACATAGCTCTCTGTCTTCGACTGTGCATCGGGTTTAAATAAGCGGGAATCACAAGTTGCCCTGTCCCACTTCTCACTAGAAAGTACTTGGCCTCACTCTTTTCATCTCTTTTCCGATTTGGTCCCTATGCTGTCATGCTGTCTGGCCCGTAGTTTGTGGTGGGACCTACCGTCGGACCATGGACCTGCAGGTAGGGCCTCCACAGAGTTTGGAAAACTGAAGGTTCAAATGTCCCATCTCTTCAGCTCTGAAGTCAAACTGATCTTTCTCCGGGCTGATCTCAAACGTCAAGGACCGGACTAAGGACCTCTCAAAGAAAACCATCGGACTTCAGGGTCTCCCGAGCCCCGACGAACTTCAGGACTTCCGAGAGGTCGGTGCAGATCCATGCAACCAAAGCACCTGATGAAGCGAAGTGGTGATGTTCTTACTCAAAGCTCAACATCGTGCTATATATATTATATATACAGTATATAAATGGGTAATGAATGGTAATGATTGCATATATTGTGGTACTATTGATGCATTGATGCATGATGTGAACTCATGTAACGTCGAAGATCGTCGATGCATCTTCGGTACCCTGTGTCACATCTTCGGTTCATTTCGCTTCCATCACTCTGAGGCACTCTGCTCATCTCCTCTGTATTCAAACATCTCTGCACGTCAGCATAAGTGGAGGGAATTCAAGATAGGGGTGTGAAAGCATGTAGCATCATGTAGATATGTGTATCAACCGACAACTTGCCAAGCAAACATCCGGTGATTCATTGACGTAAACCTAACGGACTGAGAATGTGACAAATACCCAGGATTCCAGCTGTCAGCGAAAAGAATCGCTCCTGCACTGCAGCATCAAAAGTGCGGGTTTTCCCTCTCTATATAGCCGGTTGGCCACCTGAAACATGAAAAATATCTTTGTCGCCCCAACTTCGAAGTGTTCATTGGTTGAACCAATAAAATATGCCCGTTTCCATCTCCGTATATTGAACCAATGTTTGGCGGTAAATCACATGCAGTCCACTTCGTTTCAAGATGTAACTCGAGCGAAGAAAGTTGCACCGCTGGCAGCTGACAAAGTGGCGGCTCCTTTGGCAAGGTATCCTGAGGTGCACCGCTGTCCCTTCGCCCTTGGCAGGTGCAGCCCCCGGTGCTGTCCGTCTCCGGTCGTCCTCGGGCATGTCCTCGTGCTACCTACCATGCTATCCAACGCATGACCGGCCATGGCCCTCTGTCATCCCAAGAGTGAAACTGCTGAGCTCCCCCACTCAACGCAAACACGTCCAAGGCAGCAAGTCTGCACGGAACCATGATGAAGGCAAAGGAGCAAACGACCACCTCAAGAAGCTCATGGCGAGGGTGGTTGATCTATATAATTTCCTCCTTACGAAAACCTAGGCCTTGTGATCAATGAACCAAGGCCTTATGTCGACCTTTTGTGTCATACAAGTATGTCCTTCTTTACATCTTTTTACACCGTTCGTGGAGCCCATTGATCAGATTGTGGGATCAAGGCTTCCCTGCAATACTTTGGCGCATGAGCCAAAGTAAAGCCGTGAAACACGGGACAGTGATGCTGTTCGTCCGACAGCGGCCATCGCCAAGTGGCAAAGGCGTAGGACACCCAGGAGGCCATCAAGGGCCAATACCTGGGACGCCATGGACGATGAGGGTACCCACTCAAACGAACACAACACTTCCATGACGGGCCTGGGACGAACATCGTTCGTCTCCCAAACAAGGAACAAACCCACTTGGTGGATCTGAAACTGGTACTTCTATGGACAAGGTCCCTGTCACTTTCTCCTACTGCTAGTGTGATGTCTTGCACAAGACATTGCCGAGATGGGTCATGCCTTCCAATCATCCAACATGGGGATCCCAAGATGTGCACCTGGAAACTTGGGTTACAGGCACAATTTGGTATGTAAAATGCAATCGAGGAAAAGACTTCATTGAAGATCGACTCTTGTCAGGGTACTACTAGGAACAAGGACGCTACTAGGGGCTCCTGGCATCGCTACTAGGAGCAAAGAAACTACTAGTGGCTCCTGGCCTTACTACTAGGAGCAAGGACGCTACTAGGAACAAGTGCATTGCTTCTAGTAACAAGTGCCTTACTAGTAGTAACAAGGACGCTAGTAGGAGCAAGGACGCTACGGGTATGGTCTCTTGCCCCCTGAAGGATCGATTTGCATCCTCCGGTCGCTTCCGAAAGCGGCAGATCCAGCGGCGCACGAGGTGGTGGGGCTGAAGTCTAAGAGGACATTTCCAGCCACCCGGTCCCCGAAGCGGAGGTAGGCCGCCTCAGGTAGGGACTGCTTGGGCAAGGAAGGCAAGCTTGGACTTTTGGGTTTGTAGTAAGGACAAGCTACAAGTAGCAGTGGTTACTGTAGTTCAAGGCAAGGCAGTTATGTGAGGTCTTCAAGTAAAGCACATGAGCAGAGAAAGGTGCGAGAAAGCTATCCTCCGCTGCAGATCTGAGTGCTTTGCCGTTCCTAAAGTGGCAGACAGGAGCAGGGCAATGGTGTAGGCAACCTTCCGCTGGATGGATTCACCACTTTTCCAACCCGGGTGAGTCTCCAAGACTTCTGTGGCTGACAGACGACTGATCGATCGTCGGACTGATCAATGCGATCCTGTTCAGTTTGTCTTCTAGTCAAGAGGTACTGTATTTCATGGTATTTCAGGGGGCTCCTAATCAAGACCACACTGGCCATTATAGCTGGTACAAGAGAAGCACTTCTGCAAGGCTCTGGGGAAGTATTGCAGAACATCTGCATGGCACATCTTCCAACTAACTACAAGCCAACGATGTGGCTTCCACTGAAGCCAGCAAAGAAACTAGCCAAACCGTTTTTTGCCTCACGATTTTGGAGCAAAAGAAAGCATGCAGAAGCTGCTTGGATCAACAGGACGGAATAGCAAACTCAAAGCTATCTGGCATTACAAGCAGCCGTTTCCGAAATCCTTGATCTTCATCCTGGATCTTCACTGTCATCATTCAAGAAGGCCTTTTGGGGATTCTGACATGGTATGTAAATTTGAACCACACCACAATGCCCCCTTGTGCAGCTCAACCGATATCAACGGGCACAAGAAGACTTATTGAAATTGATCATCGCATTCCACTGAATGGGCTTGCTTTAAACAATGGATTAACCAGTAGGTTTGAGTCAATCTTCAATCTTCCTTTTACCAATGCTTTGTGGAGATCCACGTCAGGGTATGTGTAAACTCATAGGCTGGATCCAGCCTCGGTGATGGATTCTGCTGCCAGCAAGGAGCTCATGGATGCCGGTGCCTCCTAGCACCAGTTCAAACAGAACCACTCTGGATATCCCTTGAAGGCATCCCCAAAGAGTTAGTTGGTCCCTGAACCCTGCGATTTCATGGATTCAATGGTGATTGTGATTGTGTCATTTGTGACTTGCGTTACTTGCATACGATCCGGAACGGGACATGTGAGCTGCGGAGTTCCGACCCACTCTTCGAGTCATTTGACCAAATGAAAAGCATTGGGTGACGGCATTGGACCGATCCAAACATCACAGCGAATCGGGCTGAGTCGACCGAAGGCTCTGTTCGAGTCGACCGGGTGCTCTGAGAGTCGGCCACTGTGAAGCCGTCCTGAGCCTCTTGCTGTTCTGAGTCCAAACGGCTGAGAACCTGTGAAGCTTCAACACAAAACACACGACATACGAACATGTTTGTTCTCGTTATATAGATGACACATAATAACACATATGTGTCCTTTAACATGTGCAAGCACTCGTGTGACAAGATTTGAGAAATGGACACTTCAAAGAAGCAAAATCAGTTGCCAAAGGTCGTTTGTGGAATTTTAGAAGCATGATCTATCACAGTACAAGGGAATTCTTCCAAGCACATCCATTCTAATTGATGAATCTTAATTATATATTCTAATTCAGAACCCAACAGACCATAGGCGAAGGAAGCCATCCGTGCCCCATCAGCTGCCTCAATTCCACCAGCCTGCACTGAGAATTGAAGGGAAAAAAGAGCCGCTCCTGGCGCTGCGAAAACCGTGCCGTCCAATGTCCAAAGAACTTGAAGCAGTCATGTCATGCCCCATTCCTGGCAGATACGAAGCAAGCAACGCAAGCAACATGCAGTGATATCAGCACGGCTCGTACGGTGCACCTGAGAAGAATCTCCCAATGTCACCTCGGAAGAGATCTACATCTCCTGAGGGTGAGATGTGGAAAGAATGCACCAACTCATGTTCAGCAAGTCTTCTGAAATGGGTGGTGTACTTGCTTGACACTCGACCACTTTGCTTGTTGTTTTACAAGCTGACGTCAATTAGGAGAATAGCATTTGCTAGTTGGAGATTGCTGATTTTGCGGGGCAGCTGTCGTGTGAGGAATATCGCAGCAACCAATGATTGTAAGACAGAGCACCTTATTTTGGTGCAAAGCACCTCTCGTGAGAGTTCAACAAAGTTCAATTGTGGTCCGAAGCTCTGGCCGTGCATCTGCTTTGTGCTGACTGCAGCAACATACTCTCATTCTCTATCCTTCTCCGCCATCTTTTCTTGATACCCGCCTCAAAAGGTAAACCATCTCGTCTTCTGCACTTTCTGGAGCCATTGCACAAGCATTTATCTTCAGTTGAAAGACTCACGAGTGGGATGACCGTCTCCCCATCCGAAGATGGGCAATTGTCATGGCACTTGTCATCCCGTCTCCTGGTCTCCCAGGTGTCTCAATGGGGGCGTTCACCAGGTCTTCAGACAAGACATCGCCTTAGACAGATCGGAGAAAAGTCACCAAAGAGGTTCGAGCTCTCCCCTTGAGCTGCAAAGAATCCTCGTCATGAGCTTTGGCGAAATGCAGCTTGCAATATCTTGCAATAGATTGACTTCAAATGGTTTGGCTTCAAATTGTTGTCCCCTGCATCGATTGAAGGCAAAGAACAAACATCATCACCATCCTCCGCGGAAAACCCAAATGCTGCACATACCTGCGCCCTCACTTCAACCAAAGACTCTGCCACCGTGCTTCTTGTTCCTACCAAATGGACTGGGCAGTTGCTACAGCAATCGAATGTCATCGACAGTGACACCTGTGGCAGCATGAACATCCATGGGGAAGACCGCCCAGTGCAGCCGTGTGGCTCACCGAGACTGTGGTCAGGACCACCTGGGCAGCTCACCAGGTCGAGTAAAATACGAGGCTCTGTGGGGACCCTCAAAGGGAGGCTCTGTGGACTCTCACATGGTTGCTCTCACTGGATCCAGTAATCTGATGTAATATGTGGTGCCACTCTTGAGCAACTCAAAGACTCGTCGAAGTGTACAAGCAAAGACTTGTCGATCGGGGAGCATGTGGGGTATTTATTTGATTTGCAAAACAAATATTATGATATATGATGATGGAACATGTCTCACACATCTCGCAACACTGCAAGTGCTATCGCACACGAACCAGCAAGATTTTGTCGAGCAACGCAAACACCCACAAGGCTGAAAGAAACTCTTCATGCACCACCTCTTCAAAGTGGTCAACATCAACCTCCAAACCTGCCAGGCAGTGAAAGGGACTCACATACTTGTCAACTGGTTGAACCCAGATCCACGATGCTAAGTGCTGCACAACCAAGCAGCACACGCCTGCAGGGTGTTTGGGCACATCAGTCAAAGTAGGTTTTCCCCAAAGTCGGCCACAATGCTAGCTGCTGGCATTTCTTCCTTGTACGTCTATAGGCCTCGCACACTGACCTGCTATTCCTTTCATTTGCACCGCACGATCGAACTTGAGTCCAAGATCTGTTATCAAATGAAATGCTCTTGAATATATTTGAATGATAGATCCCAACTGCCACCACATCTGTTGCAAGCAGGACAAAGGATTCCATGTGACAACACATCAGCAAGTCTCCGCTCGAAAGGATGACAACATAACAGCCCACACAGGAACATTGAACATGAGGAAAACAAATGAAAATAGGAACTTTCTCAAGGGAAAGCTCGCTGGGCCCCCCGCCGAGCATGCAAACGACACTCACTAGGGCCACTTGTTTCAATGACCTCCAGGGCCAAGCGACACATCTGCTGCTGGTTGGAAGGGGTCATGGCTGCATGTCAAGCTGGTTGGCCGGGCCAATGCCCAAGCGTAATTGTTTGCAAGCGTCTTTGTTTGGTGTTGAGTTGCTCATCTCCTCTATATACAAATCCCTGGTTGTAACATAGCAAAACAAATATATAGGCTGTTGGCCCTTACATTGACCTTCTACAAGAGCAAACAAACGCGGTAATTGTAGAAAGTCTAAGATGTAGAATCCGATCGCCTTGCCTCAGTGATGCTCCTGGCAAGCAGATCAGCACTGCCAAACACACCTTGGACCACCACCAGTTTGCAAAATTTATCGCGTGCCCGTGCCAAACTAACTTGCTGGTTTTGCAGGAGGTGATGTCTCAATCAAACATCCTCAATTGCGATTCCCAAGCAAACTCCCGAGGCTACAAGCTTGGACCGCCCGTGGAGCTGGCAACGTCAAATTCAGAAGGTCCTTGGCACGAAGCAAAGGGCTGTCAAGATCAATTAAGCCTGAGCAGCATGGGTGTCTTATATACTGTAACTGCCATGTTTGTTCAATGTGGCGCGACAAGCTCACTCAAGTATAACAGATTTATGCTGGTGATACTCCTGCAACTTCATGTACCTCCTTCCCATTGGTGAATCTTGAGCAGTGTCCAGAACGAGAAAGCAAAGCTCCTACTCAAGGCAACAAACAGTCGAATTCAATTGAATCAACCTAAACATTGGTGCTTTGAGTCTTGAGTTGATTGCAAAACAACTAATTACACAACTACGACAATCCCAGGCTTACAAGCGATGCCATGTCCGGGCATTCGGACAACAATGACCATCAAATAGGAGGACAAAATCCCCAGGGTCAGCAGCAAATAAGCAGCCAAGACCTGGGAGAAGCAAGAAACATGTGGCCAAATGCAAATCTCCTTCCCAACAATACAATATCGAATTTTTGAAGGGCACAGGCTCTCCACACCTTGAAGAAGCCAGCCCTCGGGCATAACACACGAATCTCAATAATCTCACAATCTCAGCCAGTGTCTCAACTGTGATCCCCAGCCGCAGCCAGGCCCTTCTGCCCGAAGACATGTCTGGCAAAAGCAAAACCAAAAGAACTGCACCAAAGCTAGGGACGAGAAGACTGATGAATGGCATAGACTCGAACAAACAAGGAGCAAGTTCAAGTGCTGAACGAGCATTACCTAATTATATGCATACTCAACCTGCTCTGCTGCAACGCACTTCTTTGTTGTTTTACCAAAGCAATCAACAGGATGACTAAAACTAGCCCATGCAGTCCGTTCTCTTCATTGTTCAATGTCCAACCTTTCTACAGAACACTTTCCCGCACCTCCCCAATTCTGGGTAAGAGCACTCTTCCGAGCTTAAGACTGAATGACCTAGGCGAGGTTTTTTTTAAGGTCAGGAAGGAAGGGTCTCCGGAACCCCAAAGCCACTCCTACGCAATTCTTCTCAACGTGACCGCACGAGATCGCATACCAGCTCCTACGTTTCTTGATTCAATTCCTGTTTCCAGGCGTCCGTGCTCATCCAAAGCACCTGCCAATGACAGTCATGCAGATTTCTTGGCAAGAATCTACCCACTCTTTGCGATGAATGAACGACTGAACTCCCATCATTGTTGCAGATTGGGCGATTTACCTGAAACCAAGGAGGTTGAAAATCAAAGCCTTTAATCAAGGCTTCTACAATTCTACAATCATCACTGGTTGAATGTCGTTCAAGCAGCAAACCCTGCCATGCACCTGGAGCATGGTGTATCTGTTTGCCAAGGCTAAGATACCTCGTGGCCGGCCGAGAACCATTGCCCTTAGGGAGTTGCCACTCTATTTCTCTCTTTTTTTCCTCTCTCTCTCTCTCGCTCATCGCGCTTGCTCTGTAAATCTATATAATATGATATATATATATAGACGGTGCCCCATCCCCACAAGCAGGTCTTCTCATTTCAAGTCGCAGTTGCCGCTGTGCGTGGTGTAGGGTAGAGAGTTGGCAACATCCTACAGGTGGCAAATCAGTCCCTATGTTTCAGAGAACCTTTTGTGCCATCACTTTCTGGCCCCAAGACACACACTTCGAGTATATTCTTTGGTGAGGATTTGCCTGAGCTTCACAAGCAACACTTGGACTAAATACACTGGAGATTAAATCCCAGCATTCTTGTGCAAGCATCGCGGATTGCCGAACAATTTCCTACACAGTTTGTGGTTTCAACCGCGCAGCTTCTGCAAACAGTTGGGCAATATTTGGAACCTAACAAGCTGCTCCCAGATTTCATAAGCTGGACAACAAGCTCCTCCCTGACGGCCATCTGAAATCGACCCCATTTTGGCTCCGCACCCATCAAAGCCAACCCTGAAATCAGCCCGGCATCCGCCATTGCGCGAGGCATCGCCAGGAGACCTAGTCGACCCGTGAGACTTTTGTCGTGTTTCACCGGTCGAATCGGTACAGAAAACAAACAGAAACAGGCGGAAACTGGTGGAAACCACTTTTTCTTTAAAATAGAATCGCTGATAAAATGATAAGTTGCATTCATGGCCACAAGCAGGGTCAATGTAAGCTGGGAAATAGCACAGATCATGTTTGCTATCCCAACTTAAAATATGAATGGATCAAATGAAGCAGGATGGCAACATCGGTGCCAGGACGGAAACATCATATCGTGTGATATGCCCTACAACTGTTCAAATGCCCTGAATCACCGACAAATGAGGGCTTCACATGAACTGAATGAACATGGCCACAAATTCCATAAACAGAGCCACATGCGTTTCAAATGCTACATCAATGTATCGGACTTGACTTTTGCTCATTCTGAGGAATTGGTCAACATATATACTGTAGATGTTTCTCGGACCAGCAATTCGTTCTGAGTCCAAGGTGTTGCCCTCACGACTTGAGAGCTTCCAAACATTCCATGGAGATTTGATAATTCGTTGGTCCTTTACTTAGTACAATCAATCTATACTAGCAAACTAAAATGTTTATATACAGGTATACTTTATAATCATATATACTATATATATAATCATACATATATATATATCCAATGCAACTCGCACATAAATCCACTCCACTCTACCCTTGACCCGCATGGTCAAGAGTCGCGGCACCTGCTCCCAGCAAGTTGTTCAAGAGGTTGAACGTCGCCTGTGGAACCACAGGCGCCCGATGACCACGTGTCAAAATATGTAAAAATCTGAGACCGGCTTGGCATGATCCTCAGCAAATTTGAGAACATCTACTGAGCACATCTGAGCACCTCAAAGACGCTCGTCGTCGCTGAACATGAAGGGGAGTTGTGTACTTTGATGCCCAAGAATCAATCGTGAACATGAATGAACGACACTCAAATTGGGGAAATACACGTCCAAAGTAACCAACCATCTGAAGACCAATATGTTTACACATAATAATATCATGCATAATTTGGATTCTTAGACTCTTAAACGTCTCTTCTTGCTCTCATGATGACCCCTCCCTGCTTTGCGGCCAGCAATTAATTCGCGTAGCCCACTGCAAATGGCCGCCCACGACGATCACCCGTTGTGTGACAGTTTGCCGTGACGTGATGCTAATAATCTTCACCAGCTTGTGGCTGGTTAATTATACTAATTACTAGTTATGTACAGTAAAGGTGCCTAAAAAAAGACTCGTTGAGCGCTCCGGGGTGACCCCTAAACCAATCTTGCCCGATGGATGTCGAACTTGACTTCATCTTCCAACGGCAGCTGCAGTTAGGTGTATGCGCATGCTTTTTAGAGTGAGTAGCTTGTAGCATTGTAGCCTGTACACAAAGAATTTAAAGCCGTAATTACCGGTCTTATGCGGAGTGTCCATACTACGTCCTCCTTTACAAGTATTGGTGCCAAATTGTAAGAGGCGTCACTAGCGCTGCACCGTTTTCAGCTGATCTCCGAGCTTCAAGCCATGCTTGAAACAAAAGACATGTTGCAAGTCAGCCTTGGAAGGGTCCCCGCTGGAATCTGGCAATGTTTGCTAGCGCGGATCTAGCGCAGTGCTAGCGCGCGGCTAGCGCATTTTTCAGCCAGCCACTTTTCAAAAACCTGACGACGTTCTGAACATGTCCTAAGGCAAACACTAGCGTCACTAGCTGCAAGTCTACCGCAAACCTAGCGCCCAGCTGCAGAATAGGTGTGTTTAGCTCGGGGCCCGCTACATAATCTAATTGAAAAAACAACATCATAAGCTACTTTCGACCCCTTTATCTATTTTTTTTGATTATAGACGTTTGGCCGGACTCCCAATATATATCCCCCTAGAGCCTTCCGGAAATTACCTACGCACGGGCGGCGTCGGAATGCACACGTGAGTGCGTCTACCCGAAAAATAGATTGAAGATGATCTACAATCATTCTTCATTCTCAAATATCTTTGCAGGAAGATGTGGGAAGAGATTCCCGCGAAAAGACGGATGAACTAATCCAACCCCCTGAGTTTCCTCTGTGAATCTTCCAATCCCCACCTGTTCAATTGAAATAATCCAATCCATGGTCCATGAACCATCCAACCCGCTCGATTCCTCCATTCAACACGCAACGACGGCCTCGCAACGGCTTTGCCGTTGACCCAGGCGCAGCAAAGGGTAGAACAGCGCCATACCTGGCTGCCTGAGACGGCGGGACGTCTGCAATGAACAGTTGGATACTGCTAAACACTCGGGTACAATGCACTACATCCTGAAAGGAAACAAATACTAAGACTTGCCAAGTAGACAAAGCACGACCAAAGATTGCAAGTTGGTGTTGTGTAAGGTATGTATTTGTGGCTTCTAAATACAGTAACACTAACGCTCATGGTTTTCGTGCGAGACCCCCTTCAACCCCCACAACACACCTTTCAGTGTCGATGCAAACTCATGATTGCTCAGCCCAGGTAGTAGAAGTTGTATGATTGTATTGTCATGTGGAAGCAGTTCTTGAAAGTGGAAGCACACATCAATGCACCAGGGACAAGACCTGAACTGTTTGGACATCTTTGAAGCATCATATCTGAAACAACTTAATTACAGCTGGGGATGGACACCATTGGGGAACACTCATGTTGGACCTTCCATGGCTTCTCAGGAGGTACTGTACTAACTCAGGTCTTTCCCTGCGAGGTTCAGGCAATTGTAGCCTGTCAAAACCACAAACCGGGGAGCGAGCCAGCGACTGGGTCTGGGCTGAGATTCACCTGGCAAATCGACCGTTTCGCAACAAAAGCACCTGTTGGATATGAAGGGTGAGACCGTTCATTGATGATAAACATTGAGACAAAAATGTGATTCAGAAATGTAACACCTAGAGAGGCATCACAGCTGGTTGTCTTCTACACAACCTTTTATGTCACCTAGTGCGTCATGTGGAAAACAAGAAACAATTGTGGGGCCATCCATGGCAAGCCAACCAATCTGCAGAAGCGAGCGGCAACAAAAGGCTTGATAACGGGGTCAGATCAAAGGACATGACTTGCCACCCAAGAATACTCCAAGTGCGACCCATGGCCGGAGCCACCTGCACATCTGGAGATGTTCTCTGTGGGAGCTTCCGACAATTCGGACAGTGTCTCCATGTCACCTGAAAGCAGCAGTGAATTTTGGAAGATGACTTATCATGCACCAGGGTCTTAGCATCACCTTGCTTTTAACTCTAAAATTTAGTTATGAAAAAAGGTAGCAAGCCTGACAATATCTGGTTAATCAAAAGCGTCCAAGGAAACATCCACCTGGCTTATATGACCTTATGCAAACAGTAGTAGTCTCTACTCACCTGTCCTGCCCAAGCTAGCTGGCTTCTGTCCGCAAGCTACTGTACATATCAGAAGCTGCTCACATTGAGCAAAGTGCTGCACTAGCATGGAAGATGAAAATGTCTGGGACTTGGCTGCGTAATATTCAAGTGTAGGCTGGCTACAGCCTTACCATACTTGTCTACAAACACAGGTGCCCAAATCGGACCGCCTCCTGTATAGCGAGGTGCCTGCAAAAAAGAACATGTGGGGACCCCGTGGGCGACTGAACAATGGCTGGACATTTCTTGGCAAGAACATCCAGGACATTCTTGGAAAAGCATGCATACCGTCGGTTTCCGTGACTTGATAATGTAGGTTTTCACCCACGTTCCAACAAAGGAAATGATTCGTCAAAGAGTTCTGCGTACTGATGCATCCTTGACATCAAGCGGCCGCATGAGGCTTGATGTTTTGGGTACTGGCTAGTTACCACACTAACTACTGGCAAACTTACTACTGATAACGAAACCCTAAACCGCAGCTTCGCTTCGCTGGCTCGCCTCGGCCTCCTGTGGGTGTCTGGACCCCAAAAACTCTTGTGCCTCGCATGGCATCGTTCAACCCATTGAAACTGGAACAACCTTCCGTCCACCCGTTGTGTGGACCTACCCAATCAGCGGCAAGACATGTAAGTTGCAAGCGAAATGACCAGTCATAATATACGCGACTATATAAATATTTGATATATAATATGTCAAACTAACCATCTGTAGCGATCAAATGATCAACAATATACTAGGAAATTCTACTATCACATGATTTCGAAAGCTATTGCACATGCCATTGGACACTTTTTGTAAGCTACGAAAGAGCCCGTGGTTCATGGTTCGAGTTCTGGTGGGCGGCGCCTCGGGTGCAGGTTGTGGTGCAATACCTGTGGCAAGGATGATTTGAGATCTGCATCAAAGACATTCGGAGTACTCTGCTGTGCTTGGTCGCAGGGCAATTGCAGTAGCCAGGATGCACGAAGAAGATGACACGCCGTGGAACAGTGGGGCAAATTGAACATTTGGAAAAACAACTATATCATGACATGAAATCTACCAGTAGAGTTTAGTGATCAGCTTGAAACCACATGCAGAAGTGCAGAATCAAAATGAATCAACATATTATGAAACACTGGGATTCAGAACATCTGCCAACCTACAGCATGCGCAGCACATGCCTGCGCCTCCATGCCCAGTCAGGAGGCCCTCTTCGTGCCTCAGCAAGCCACTCATTTCTCCACATTTCTCAACAACCTATGTGTGAGGTTGTGGAAAGGAGCAAGATGAGCAAGCAAGCCATGATGTTCAGCAGGAACTTGGGATACTACTTGGGAATACTTGGGATATATTATGGTAGTTCTCAAAAAATGCTTCAATCAAACTACTAGCTGCTACACTATGAGTAGTACTGCTTGAATGATCCAACCGATGACAGCGCTGACAGCGTGTGACCTATCGCGACCTGGTCGTACTGAGCATGCCCAGCTCTTCTTCGGCTCCCTGAAAGAACACATCGACTCGGTTCACTCGTGCGTTGCCCAGGCTCAAGCGACGGCGCATGATGCGATGGACGTGAATTCATAGTGAAGTCAAACGATGCCATGAACTTAACATATTTTCTGGATCCATGGGGTGCTGGCGCTGGGCATATTGACGGAAAAAATAGAACAACTTTCAGGACCAGGGGGTGGTGCCTCCTCTCCTCCCTCGACAGCCGGCATGGCACAGGCGGAACAAAGCCAGTCGTCAAAGTGAGTGCGCGTGACGGGCACAAATGGCTATCCTTCAAGCCTCCAAGGGAAATTCTCAGATCATTTGAGATGAAGAACTGATGATGGTGGGCTTTTTCGGGCGTTTCCACTCACACATTGAGGTAACAGACCAGGCTGCACATGTTGGGCCTGGCACTGCGGGCCTGAAAAGAGAATGCTTATGGTGCGAGTACTGAGTATGTTTCAAGAAGACTTGCCCTCCAAAAATGCCTTTTGGATCGACTGTTGGTAGATCCATTGCAGGATGACTTAGATGGGCTCCTACAACCGAAGTGCTGTCAATCATGAACTGTATTCTTCTTTGGGCCATACTCAAATGTCTGCAGCTCGGCAGGAGGCACAGTGACGTCAATCTTTTGGAAGAAGCCTGGGAGGTGCTTAGCTGTATATAACGAGCTCCGAGCCAGCTCAATAGGTTTTGCTTCTGTCCAGGTGGGGGTCTATATATAGTATAATCTAGAGATCTCACAGGAAACTCGCTTTTGGTTTTCACGTTCTCTTGCAGGAATTCATTGAGTTGCGTGACGCCTTTCTACAAAACCCATTACAAAGCCAACGCCCAACTCTGCAGCTCCACCCAGCTCCACCGAGCTCGCTCCGTGAGCTCTGTCTGCCCGAGGTTCACCGATTGCCGATAGACGTGCACTGGATGATGGCGTGGCCGGCGACTCCTGTGGGACTTGGACAAAGGACGGGGCGGCGGTCAGACCGAGAACAAGCTGCTGCAACTGAGAAAGCAGATGTCAAGACGGTGAACGACAGGGAGCCGTGCAGATCCATGCAGCATGCAACGTGATAAGCCTAGTCAAAAACAACTTCCCTCCATTTCAAGTCGAGTCGATCAGATCGGCGCCTGCACACACCACAAACCTCCGGCTCTGGCTGTCGGTAGAAGCCCCTCAGGTCGGCGAACGGGTGCGAGAGGTGAGAGATGGTTTTTGGGGGAACGAAACCATCAGGACTCGGAAAGAACGCCATCAAAACACCCTCAGAACACTGCTGGATTTGCCTGCCTGTTCCAGGTCTAGTTCCGTTGTGTTAATGATATGCTGACTACAAGTATTGCAAAGCTGCAGCCTAAACCAAATCTGGCTAAATATACTTGTAGTTACTTGTATAACTATATTTGTTCTTATCAATCATGTTTGGGGTCATCATGTTTTATTTTGTGGAAAGGCCGCACCTGTGAACAAGTAAGCTCCCAGGCCACTCAGTTCCATAGACCTCGATGGCTGCATGGAAGGCGCCAAACGTCTTCACCTCAAAGGCGCTCTGCGTTCTGCATTCAACGTCCATCTAGATTGGTTTTAACTTTAACATGTTCTACCAATACCTCATTTGTGGTACTTTTAGGACACCGATTGCTTCATACCGACACCAGGACCAGGGCCAAATATTGTCTTACTGCAGCACCCACCCTTCAGAACTGCTCCAAGATGCCATGGTGTTGCAAAGGAGGCTGTTTAAACCTGACCTTGGCTGAGCAAGGCTGGAAAAGGGCTTTGGTGACGAATATGTTGGATTTGGCAAGGAGATCTTGAAGTTGAACATGTTCATTTGTCTCCAAAAGAATCGTTTCCAACCCAGGGTGAATCTATGCTACCATCATCTACCATCTATACGGTTATGCGATCTATTTCAAATTTTGACTCTACTGACTCTACTGCGTGCGCCCAACCTTTGCATGACACGGTCAGCTGAAGATGATTGACATTGACATGTTTACTGCTTCCACCATTCCACCATCTCTCGTGCAATCGGCTACCATCCCGGGGCTAAGGTGTGGATTACTTCGAATGTCTTTTTCTTCGCACCAACTGGGTCCCGGCGTTGCAGGTGCCAGGTCATACCTGTGGTGGTCGTGATCACTGCCAATCAAGGCAATCTCAAACTGTACATTAGGCAAATTGTGGCACAGCTACAGGTTGAAGGGCATCACAAAAAAGTCACAACCCAAAACGCTCACAGTCTGGACTCATGAACAATTTACAGTATAACAATTTGGGCTCAAAGCATCAGTACGAAAGTAATCGGCTGTCTCAATACTCTGACCGACTGCAATGGCTTCCAAGGACTCACGGGTTTTGCCCGTCTAATTTTAACCATTCCAAGTGCTTCTACTACTGTGTCTGTGACTCTCTCATACATTGTGATATTACTGTTCGCTCACTTGTGTGGGCAGTCGACCAGGAAAAACATGGAAAAAACAACTGTATCTGGACGTGACTAGATATACGTAGAAATGATTTCCGAAACTTTGATTCTTTTATGGCGGCTACATACATCTACCCCTGAAATGAACCAAACCCTGATGCTAAGGCCAGAACACATTGAGGAACACCGTGGATGCTGGCGCACAGTCCACCTGTTTGCTTTCAGATTGGCCAGTCCACTGATTACAAAAGGACTCTTATGGACTCAGGATCCAAGGATCATTGTCAGGATCCAACCACCCCACACCGTGACCAGTGTCATCCAGTGTCCACAGAAAGAATGAACATCTCTTCACGGACTTTTGTTTCTCTACCTTCGACAGGGGGCTTGAGTAAAACTGCACCCAACATACCCAACCACACCTCCGCGCCGAAGGACACACAGGCTGCCAGGGAACCAGGGCTTGCCAACGCCTCGCGCCACGACGCGCCGGTCCAAAGTCCCGCTCTCATAGGCAACCCTCTGGACGAGGGAAGGGAAAGCGAATGGGCCAGGGAGTCTCCTCACTAAACAGGGAGTCACCCAAGTTCTTGAAAGACCCAAATCATCCCAAATCCATCGGCGCCGATGAACGCGGCGGTGACCTCGGTGGAAAGACCTGGCACGATGCCACACGTGTCGCGTCGCGTCGCGTATGACTCTGCAAAGAACTGATGCGCCAAGGCTATGACTTGGCGGGACTATGACTTGGTGCTTGGTCACTGGTGATTCTGGAATTCACGGTCAGGTGCATTATATATATAATATAAGTCAATACTTTGCGAGGGAAACAGCACCAAGCTTGCAGTAAAGACGTGGATGTCGCGACTGATTGAAAACCCCAAATGCACCCGGAAGCCCTTTGGCAGAGTGCATGGACGAAATCTTGCACCTCCTTGCTGACTGAATTGAACCTATTCACCCCTGTAGCCTGAAACCAAATTGGTGGTCCACTCCCGATTGATCCACATTGGATCCATGCTGATCCACCCTGGCGCCGACCTGGACTGGACAGATTGAAGGGATCAATCAAGGTCAACTGCAGTTGTACCTCTCAGAGATGCTCAAGGACTCCGAGGAGCCCCCGATGTGCCCTATGAGGCAACGAACGGTCTTGAAAGTCTTCGCATTGAGACAATCTTGCCAGACCAAAGTGTGCAAAACCAAGGATTAACAAGCGAACAAGGCACCAAAAGGGTCATGCTGTCCATGAAGTCACTTATGTTTCCTCTAAAACGGTTAGGGTGTTGATGGTTTGAGCCGACCAAAGCACTGAATCCGACCTGACGTGGGCTCCAAGTGCCAAACCAAGGTGCTGAAGTCCCGAGGGCTCCAAACCAATGACGCGCCCCCAACGCTAACCATCGTTCCTCACAGCCGTCTGGGGTCCAAAGCCAATCAAAACCAGAGGTCTGAAAGCCAGCTGGATTTGGTGAGGCTAGCTGCTAGCTATTATTATCACTGGACCAAACATGACCTTTATAAGTATCTGCAAGTAGAAAGCGGATCTGCACAACGGTCCAGATCGAGGAAGTCGTTTGATCTCTTTTTGACTCGTTCATCAAAGAGAACCGGTGTCCGGTCCAATTGACACGGTGTCCGTCTCTCCGTCGGACCGGTCTGACACACGGTCCTCATTAATTGGACACCAGTCTACGTCGTGCAAACGCAACCTCAAGGGCTGGGTGACAAAGCCTCGCGCAGGAACCTGTGGTTGGGGTGCTGCAGAACCGAGAACCTAGTCTGACCATCATCGCACGAGGCTACTTGCAAAGGCTACATGCAAATCACGAGGATTCCATTAAAATTGCCAGCATGGAGTGCAACCCAGTCCCCAGTCTGGGTGAGAGAACCAGTCGCTTCCAGATGCATCTTCCTGCATGGCAGCGGATTCCCGACTCCCAATGTTTCTTTATATGTTGGGGTTGTCCTTAAAAGGCGTCTTTTTGGGCTGAATCCACGAAAACACGTCCAATCTGCGGACACGGGCGGAAATTAGCGGACAAAGGCAGAAATTAGCAGAAAACAACCGCAAAGGTCAAGGAACTTTGCTCTGGTTGCATGACGGATGTTGGATGCGGATGATTCTATTTACTACGGAGAGAAATGTCCATGCCTACTGAACAAATAGCCTTCTCAACTGCGGCACCTGTGGCCTAATATATATATATATGTATATACAGTGCTAGTACAGAAGTGATTAAGCCCGAACTGTTACCAGGATTCCTAGAGAAAGAAGTCACTCAATCATATCATGTCATATCTTAATTTGCACGTACATCACACAGGTCATACTCCCACATGACTGCCATGACTGCATGACTCAAGCTTGGATAGAAGATCTGATGTCAAGTACCCCACGGATGCCCGTGCCACAGTCCTTTGGGCCAACCGTGCAGCGGATGATCTGTCCAGATTCCACCTGCAGCGAAGTGCAAGATGATTTGTGAAAGACAAGGGACAGTGGTTCAACATGGTTTTAATCTTAGTGATACTTTTTAAACCTGTTTAATGATCGGTGTCAAACACTTACTTGATGTCCTTCCCTTTGCTGGAGTTTGGTTGGATGGATTGTAAAACCACTTGCTTGCAACAGTGGTACTAGGTGATTGCATCTGGAGATTGGCAATTTCCCGCTTCACATGCCATTAGTGTGTTTCTTCAGATTGAAATTCAAGACATCATACATCAAGCAAGGCAAAGCCAGCATACCACATTTAACCACACTTGGCTGTCAAAGCCAGCATACCTTGATTTAACCTACCGACGCAATTTGCGCATCATCCAAACGCTTCCCAAAGGCCCTTCATCGTGTGATGGGTGCCTGGGAGTAGGTGAAATGCGACCTACCTGGAAGGTCACGCCACATGGTGTTGGGGCTCCAGGTTTTGACCCATCCCTACTTCACCTCAACCTCGCCCCGCATTTCTAGGGCCCCAGGTGGTCCGGTTCTGTTGGGCGGTGCCTCCATGATGATCAAGCCATGAAAGGTGGTCGAAGACCAAGGCACCACCAAACCTCGGGCGCTCGAGGACCCACTTCTGACGGGTCCCGGTGACGAGGACGATGTGGACCTGTTTTGCGCGGGTTTTAAGTCCATGGAACCCACGATGTTCAGAAAGGCTAAATCTTCAATGCACAGTGGCTCATGAGGGGTGCCGTCTTTCAGGTGCAGAACATTTCCGTTTTCCAAGCGTGGCATATTAGGGTACCCCAGAGTTTTTGGCCACGCATCAGTTTCTGCCTGTCTTGCATCGCATTCTGAGGTGCTCTCCTTCCGCAGCTGCATCAAAGTGTGGCGGAATCTGCAGGTCATCGAGCAGAAAAACATGTGAAGCATGTCTGATAACACCAAACAAACATATATACCAATGATTAAACATGGAGTAATTAAGATATACTTTGAAGACTTTGAAGACTTTGACAGGTCAGGTGGTAGTTCAAACAGCCAAACTACAAGCCTACAATATAACAAGCCTAGAATATACCCATTGTTTACGCCTCAACAGGGAGTTTGGGATCACTCTTTTCCTCTAGGATCCTCTAGGATATGACCCGTTGCTCGGCCAATTCTTTTCATACGTACCTTTTCATAATGTTTTCACGGGTCAACCTGGTCAAATGGGTGATGCATGGCAATTGTGTCACGGGTCTCTTGCTTGGAGTAAAGTACGTGGCAGCATGGAGACCATGAAACTATATGGCAAAGCTTACCAGCTTGATTGGAACTCGGTTCAAGCCTTAATGAATATCAAAAAGAAAATGGTTCCAATACTCTGCTCATTTGGGCTCTGGCACTTTCCCAACCTCAGCTGTATCTGTAAGGTGTCTTTCCAACCGAACCGAATTTGACTCCAAAGGACTCCGACCGCGCCAGCGACCTCAAAGGAATCCTCCACCACTTCACCAGCAATGCTCGGGGAGCTGTAGAAGGGGTCATCCGTCTAGGCGCGAGTGACGAACGAGCAGTGGTGAAAGCGCCGTGGCGAACGGGCCGAGCGTGGCTGTGCGTTTCTTTAGGATGAAACCAATTTCACAAAAGAAAAAAGACGAGAAACTATGACACGCCAAGGGCAAGTGGGAGTGGCCGGTTGTTTTCACGCCCACCACGAAGCGCGAAAAGATCGATGCCACACACAAGGCCCCGCGCAACAATTCGGAAGTTTCGAAGGCTCAAGTTCCTGCAGGACAGTGGCAGTCTTCCAGATTCACCCCTGCAAAAGCAAAAACCCAGAACATGGGCTAAGGGGCGCTCAGGCCTTAGCCATGAGATCTGACCAGTACACTTGGTACACAGAAACGACTGAATAATGATGCTGAAGGTCCCGTGCTTGTTTGATTCTTTGATTCAATAAAACAGGTTACACTGATACTGCTCGTGCAGTAGTCACAGTCACACTAGATGTTTTTATTTACTTACTTTTTTAAGAGCTGCACTTCAGCAGGTTCTGCAGTGCAAACATGAAGATAAACACACAATTGCTTCAGTGCAGAACCTGCTGAAGTGCAGCTCTTTAAGAAAGAAAAACATCTAGTGTGACTGTGACTACTGCACGAGCAGTATCAGTGTATAATATATCTATAATATTATGCAATGTGCAACTGGATATAGGACAAATATATTACAGGGAGAGAAGCAACTGGAGATGTTTAATTTGATTCCAGCATGGAAATGATGGTAGATTCTACTGCTAGTGGTGTGTTGTTGTACACAACATACTTTCACGGTGGTCAGTGGGGGTGAAATTGAAAAACCGGAAGTGGGAGGAGCTGTTCTTTGGGCTTCGCTCCAAAGATGCCACATAGATCCCCATGAGTCATCACAGAAACCAAGGCATCGAAACCGAGTGAGCTGAGGCCCAACTGGCCTGTTTTGACGAAAGAAATCGCCCCATGATATTTACCGCCGTTTCTGCACGGTATTGAGGTTTATTAGGTCTGGATGCTAGATCTCTTTGTTTTGAGACGAAGCAACTTTGTCGTCAAATAAGTGCCACAGAAGAAGTTGCGAAGCTCAAAGCCTAGTTGCTTTAGGCACACAAAGTGGCCCAGCCTCAAGTGCACAATCTGACACACAACCTCAGTCTCGGTGCCGTCTGCCAGGAGCTACCCTTCATGACGATTAGCCTCTCCTTTGCGTCATCTAAGGAAAGCACAGTGGCTTCCAAGGTTCGTAATTTACAGAGTTTGGGTTTCGAATGAAGACGTGCATAAACGTCAATTCCTAATAATTATATTCCTTTCTGGTCTCGAGGGCCATCCAAGATCATCCAAGTCACCATTGAGCCAAATCTGAAGGCTGTACAGTGGAATCTCTTCCATTAGTGGCAGGTGCCTTGTGCTAGAGAAAGTGGTTTGCCATGTCGTGGATGTGATTTCATATCTTAGTCACTTCCTAGTCATCCTTTGTGAGCCTTGCGCTGTGTGACGATGTGGTCTCCACATTGCTCCATGATACAGTACGTGGTGATCGTGCTTCACCTACATACAAGTTTTATAATGTTTTATATGTTAAATCCAAGAATATGTGCATTATTGTGCGTCGTTGTGCTTTGCTTTTCAAGAAAGTGTTGCACAGGAGAAGCTCCGATCACGGAGGCCTCTCCAGGATCACGCAGCTTTGGCGTGCTATGAAACGGCTGCCAAACGTAGGAACAAGAACCAGCAAAAACACAACTAGGAACAAGAACGCTATTGGGAGATTACATCGGCCTAGTCTCGAGAAGAGTCCAAGGATGCCAAAGGTCTAAGTGAGTCTAGAGCTCTCAAAGACTTCCAATTGATATGGTCGGCTTTACTCTCATGTTGATTCCCCAAAACATTTTTAATTTTTGAAGTCGTTCAACGTTCCGCATGAAAGAGGACCAACACATCGCTGCACTGCGGTGATGTCTTCAACCACCGAGAGTTGGATCGCGGATTTAGGCCAAACCGATTCTGGGAATGGGCCGAAGGATGCCAATTTCCTCATCAGATTTGCGTTGAGCTGCAAGCTCTTTCTTGATGATCAATTCTTCGAACACAAAAGCTATATAGATGTTCGACCGGCCATCCAAAAACCACATCTGGCACATGATGGTGGAGAACTAGTAACACAACACAAAAAAGACCTTTTCGAGTTGGTGATCGCATTGAGTCACCTGTTGGGAATGACCGGCCTTTAAGCCGCTACCAGCAATGCATCAAAAGCTTTGGTTTGATCATGTTGGATCCGCAAGTCCGCTTGAAGAATGTCTAAGGAAGCTACGAACGGGGCTCCTGGCCTTACTACTACTAGTAGGAGCAAGAAGCGAGATGGGTCCGCGAGATGGGTCCCTGCGATCGACCACGTCCGCGCTGTTCGGTCCTTTCCCAGGTTGGCCCTTGGAGACTTTGCTCCAACGGTCAGGTCCTTAAGCCTCTCTTTCCGGTGTTCAAACGGTGCCGTTGTGTATATAGTGTTTGATTGTGTGTTGGTCACCTTGTGCCTGAAACAAACCATGAGGAAACTCTGCGGTCTTAAGTCTTGATTGTACCTCCTACTTGCTGCAAAGGAGGACAAAGGAGAACAGAGTCAGACAAAGTGTTGCAAGCAAAGGAGAACTCTGCACCAAGGAGTGAGACCGTTAAAATCGTGGCCGCTTTGTTCGCTTTGGAACGCTAGTGTCTTCCTGAGAACTCCACAGCGGTACCGTATCCTTCTGGAGTATCGGTCATATGGTAAGGCAGCTACATTCCCTTTAGAATTTGGAAGTCACGGTTTTGGAGCTACCAGGATTGATGCTTGATCCTATGCAACTACTGGCCACAAGAGGGTACTAGAGTGCCATGCCAAATCATCAGGCAAGCCCGCAGGATTTGCAAGGATTTGACAGGATTTGACAACCACTCTCATGGCAACATAGCTTGACAAATAATCCATTTCGCTGCGCTGTTCTGTGACCATGTTGTTAAGGTTGTGAACCCACCATCCCTGTTCATACAAGTCGCCACACTCCTTAGGCATCTGTTCGAAAGGTCACGTCCTTCCACAAAATCCCAACAAGGCAAGCCTATCAAAATGCGACTCAGCGTGGCTTCGATTCAGGCTGGGAGCGTCAATGTCTTCGTTTTCTGCTTCTGCGCCTCCTGGATGGGTTGGATGAAAACACGCACGAAAACGCACAACTTGGTTCGATCTTTTCAGAGGTTTCTGGGGTTCAGCGGTGGCGTGAGTTGTTAAAGGGCATTCCAGTTGATGGGTGGGTAGGATTGGGGTGAATTGGGTAGGTAATTATTGTAATTCATCTCAACCGGCTCCGATCCTGGTAGCTGTTCCGTTACGTTTAATTACCTGCCAAAACGACAGCCAGTCCTTGATTGCTGACTTGGCAGTGGAAACAGTGGCATTGCAGCAGTGAAGATGAATACCTGAGGAAAGCCACAGGCGCACTTATCATCGCCGGGTGACATGATTCGAGCAATCCACCACCAGAGATGGCCTCCTTTTTCTGCATCAATCCATCGAATTTCGCCCCAAGACATCGACCATGACGTTGTTCCGGTGCCCAAGAATCTGTCCAAAACCTCCCCCAAAACACCAACACCTCCGCCTCTTCTCACCGCAAAAAAACACCTGCGACGGGATCGAAAACGCCAAGGAGCGGTTGTTGTTGGGACAGCAATTGCCTTCGGTGAGGTTCACCGCCCGACAGGCCGGGTAGGCGTCGCAGGTCCTCCCATTCACCTTGCCATCGGTGTCAGGTGCCCACATCAGCATGTGAAAGAAAAAAGGCAAGACACATTGTAGTTAGTTCCTATAGTAGTTGGCATGCTGAGGCCTGTTGGATGCACAACATACCATGACAAACCAACCTTCAGCATTTGCATTCATTTGCATAGCATCTGATTGCATTTGTATGAATATCCTGAGGTAGTCCATAACTTGGTTCCCGTATGCTAATAACTTATGAGCATAATATGATTATCCTGTGAGCATAAACAAGAGATTCGCAAGAGGTTCTACTTCCTAACCAGACTAAGTACACTTATTACGTTTCCAAACAAAAGCACACACAGGCTGCAGGCTATTCACCAAGCCTGGAACCTGTCGGCCCCCTAAAAAAATAAGAAGCAGCTGTTCTTATCACCGGGTTGATGACAAGAGCCTCTCAGACCACCGGGTTGTGGTTTGCAGGCCCCAGGACCCAGGACCCGCCACTAACTGCGGTCGACCGACGTTTGACGCTCGAAGATACCTTTTACATCAACCGCCAAAGTAGCCAATTGAAAAGACGTCTTCATCTGACATCTGTCCTGATTCAATGTTGCCATTGAAAAACCAGCCAACGGCAACCAACAGCAACTGCTGCACCACATCTCTGGGCATCCGTGCCCCAATCTTCCTCCGAGCGATGGTCCCCTTGAGGCCGCCCTGCTCAGTGTACCGGGCATGGGCGCAAACTGACCGTTTGCCAAGTGCCAGGCTGAAACCGTTTTAGAGGAACTACACCGTTTTGGAGACCTCTGCAAATGATTTGATTTGCCACAGAGGTGTTTCATAAGGTCTAAATAAATCCTCCATGCAACGAAAAACTAATGCCATGGTTAGTGGGAGGTTCAAACGCGAGATGGTGCAAAGCCCAGTGTTCAATACGGTTCGTGAATATTCGTGGCCTGGCATGGTTGCCTTTGCAGCTACCATGCCACGGTAGGATTCACATAAAGAACACACGTGTTGCAAATAAACCAAGCAAAAAATCCTGGAATGTGCCCATTGGGAAGCCAAGTTTCGTTCCGCCATTAGACAGCGTTGAACATCGTTCAAAAGGATACAACCCTGTGAGCATAGTTTATCGTCCGGATTCGTCCGGAAAAGCCCCGGTTCAAGAATACAAGATAATAGTCTTTCCCGTGAAACGCGTTTCGTCCAAGGTCTTGGGCAAAACCATTGCTCGAATCGACGGTGGCTACACGGAGTCGAAAAGACACTTCACATCATTTTTGTGGCCTGCGATGCAAGCAAATACAGTAATCAAGCATAATCAAGTTCTTTTTTGATCAGATTGCCTAAGGGCGACAGAACGCAAGCTTGCCTACTGTACAATGCTTCTACGCAATTTTACAACAATGTCTTTGTGATGGCTGCCCTCGGTCCTCCTGAAGCTTGCCATGTATCCTCTTGTAGACGGAGACGTTGTTGTTGAACCTTCAGTTTGGTCTGATGGGTTTTGTTGCAGTTTCTGGTGGCTACGAACACAAATATGCTAAGCCTCCACAGAAATCTGCCCAAAGTATCATTATTAGTGCGTTCCTCAAATGTCCGCGTCGCCATGTTAGGCCTCCACATTGCCTTTGATATACATTGATATGGTCTGAACACGCTTGGATGAAAACCCTGGTTGTCCGTTGGATTGGACATCCACTCAGCGCTCACTAGGACATCGACTCGGCACTCACTGTCTGGCAGTGCTGGGTGAGGCGGCACCAGTTCTGCCCACCTGCTGCATTGCGTTGCACGGCGTTCTGCACTCGTGAGGCGCGCAGCTGCGCGAGTGCAGTAGTCTCTGGAGGTTCCGAAGTGTCTGTCCACGGGTCCCGAGTCCCGTCTCCTAAAGCTGTCCGGTCCACGTTGGCCACGAAACAGCTCTGGGACGAACCTTCGGACGTTGGGACGAACCTGATCGGCACCTTTTTTTTGGTAAAGCGTTGGAGTTAATGATCCCAATATTGCAAAGGGACAACCTGGAAGCACAGCTTCTAGAATGGGTGGCAGGCATCACAAATCAAGCGGTCCGAGAGCGTCCAGGCTATATGGATCGCATGCCAAGGTCAGGAAATTTATGTATAGGAATTTTGCTGTCAATGGAAACCGGTTCAAGGCGTTGAATGCATTAAGTGAGACACCTGATGATTGCATTCCCTAATCTGTGATCATCTGTGAAATCTGTGGAAATCAACCAGCAGAAGTGGGAAGGAATGTGGCCCGCGCCAGCAAAAACTGAGTGCACGTGGCCGTCGCATTACATACATGAACCAGGCCTGAGTGCCAGTAGCTGTACCAGCCACACTTCTTGTGGTTGTCACACCTGCCACTGCAGGTGTTGATTTCGCTGTGTTGCTATCTGTTTCAATGGTCTTCATCACGAAGCAATGTGAAGGGAGTACTTTATCAACCACCAAATTTGCCGAAAGCCAGCGTAGAAGTAGAAGCAAATTGAGGGTTAAGTGCATGCTACTTGAAACCAACAGGGCAAGAACCAAACTAAATGAGCAGTTTGTTTTATCCACGATCCGGACAACGCCGTCAAAGCGACGTAGAGATACACATCTGCAAACGGACTGATCGGAGGCTTTTGGCGCACCTCTGCTGGCACTCCTGCTGACCTGTGAAGCCGGTGCTGCAGAATATTGGTGCTCAGTTCTGAGCAGTGTGGCTCAGAAGAGCACCAATTCTTAAAACATCTCATTTCCACTCGATGAACTTGAGCTTGCAAAGCTCGTTGGGTTGTTGAAATCTGCACTTCTCACTTCAATTGAATACTATGTTCACCATGATGTACCACAAACCATCGCTGGACGGATAAGTCTGAGCAATCTGAAACCTCATCTCGACTCTCCCATACCCCGCACCTGTGGTTGGCCCTGCAAACATCGAGTGCTGGTCACAGAAGACGGAGCCTTGGCTCGCAGCAGTGGGTGGCGATCAAGCCGCAGACTCGAAAGGTCCAGTGAAGGAGGGCTGTCTGGTGCCTTTTCAATACTGGTTCCAGACTTTTCAAGCCCAGGCGTCCGTTGAGCTGTCCGTGACCAATGTGCCTTAAGCTGGTACACTCCTCGCAACCGTGACCAAACCCCCGGCGCCTGTAATGAACTCTTCCACATAGTGCGACAAGTCATCGCAACTTCTTGGGCCTCTGACAGTCCAATGAGCGTCGAGCCCAACCAGCTGACCACACACGAGGCCTGTGTCCGCCTAAGACTTGTGTCTGACACAGAAGAGAACACAGAAGAACGATGTGAGGTATTCTAGTCCAGCGAAACCATGTCAAAGTTTTGCCCATCTCAATCTGACCAAGATCTATGAAAACTGTGCAATCGAGAATGACAAGAAGCGGGTTGGGGCACCTGAGACAGTATTGGAAAAGCCTAGCCCCGCTGCCTGCAAAGTCTGGGAGCATCACCAGTGCTGACTTGACTGACAAACTCTGTCATGAAGGGTTGGACGGGAAAAGGAAGAACCAGGTGCATGGCACAGTCGAGTCATGCATATATGACCATAACAAGTTCCTGCTATTATAATCTACTATATAAATGTTTGAAGCTGTTTGTGTCTAAACTTGGCAGTCATTTCAACGCAAACACTGCAGAACAAAATAAAGCTTACATGCGCTGAAATAACTATGTTCATGGATCAATTGCCTTCAAGCCACTGCAGAAAAATCCCTACTTGAGAGTGTGTACTTTGAGGAAAACTGCCTAAAAGAAAGCGACTTCTTTCAGGGGCCAAAGTTACAATATTCAGCATGGAACACGGCTCTCAATGTGAGTGCTCAATGCAGACTGACATGCATTATCATGCTTTGGAAGCGTCCAAAGAAGGACATGCCATCAACTGGAGTCAAATGCTTTCAACAAAGTGTACTGACCTGCAGTTTTGAGAGGCTTGAGGTCAAGTAGCAGCCTCCATCGGGCCTGAGGACATGATGTGGAAATGACCTATTAGAGAGGTTCAGGCTCAGGATATGCTTGTTACAATTTAACAACTAAGTTTTCAAGCTTCCCAATCATTTTGTTCAGTGTGTTCTAGTCCCTACGCGGCAACTCAACCAACCCCACAGGCTTCACTTGTGTTTGTAGATTGAGGTTCTTGTATCTTGTTGCACCGCTGGTGTCGAACCAAAGCATGAGATTTATAGATTGCCTGATGCAATTAACATCTTTTAACCCAATTATTACAGTAAGTGTTAAGTATGATGCATGGGGGGCCTTGGAAGCATGACAAGGAGATTCGTAACCTTGCCAGTTGCTCGATTTGAAGAGTGCCAAATGTTGCAAGCATTTCGTTGATTCGTCCATGCATGTTGAACTTGCAAAGGAAAAAACACTCTGCAGCAAAGCTCACTAGTGATATAGATTCACTAGTAACTAGTGATGTAGACATTAGACAGCCAACAACGTCCCACAGGTCATCGATCTATGAATCTTCTCATCGATATTCGAATCTGGGCTGTCCCAGCCAGTAGGTAAAATGTAAGCAGCCGTATTGGCGCTTGCACTTCTCCTGCGGATGGGATTTTCGAGGACTTTTGGAAGAAAAAGGGGCGCAAGCTCATGGTGCTGGTGGAAGAATCTTTCCACAATGATTCTGTCAGCAATCGTAGGTTAAACTGGTTGGGCAATTCCAAACAGAGTAGCACTCTTGTTCGGATCCATGTACCCTTGAACTCTGAGAGGAAAGCCCTGATCTTCCTCCCAAAACGGGCAGGTTAATAAGCTGTTTGAACGTTTTGAACAAATGTCTCAAACGCGGCACTTCCTTTCAAGCATCCGTGCCGTGCATCAGGATGCGGACATCCCAGGCACAGCACGGTTGCGAACTTCAAAACGCTTGCTGAGGTGTTGCAAGCTGGTCAGATCTGTTCCTGTACTGCCTTCAAGTCAACATAAGAAATCGCAATCCAACTTTTATCAAAACAAAGAACATCCCAATCCAAGACAATCATACATACAGCAAGTTCGTCCATCTCCACCGCTCCAAACCACCCACGATGTCGAAACCGTGATTCGTGGATTTGGACTGGCGAGTAGCTAGGAGCACACTCAGCACATGAGTTGAGTGACCTCAAAGCATGCCCAACCCAACCCTTTTGGAAATACATGGCCCCACAAAATACAACCCATTGCCTTGAAATTCTATCTTGAAACCATCTGAATCTGGCACGCGCCACCCAATTCCGGCCTGGCATATCTTTGCGCTGTTCTCTTGTGTGGGCTCAGTGTCTGGTATCTTGGCTGGATCTCCATAGAACACTCCTGCCGAGATCGGAGGTCTCAAAAAGGGCCCTTCCAGATGCCCTTTTTGTGGCATCCTTTGGCCCTTTAACATCGTAAACCATCTGAAGTACACGGTGATCGACATCGATTTTGGAATCCGCTGGTAGACCATCCGTGAAAAAACCAAGGAAACATAAGGACGCATGAAAAGCGTTCTCCTTCAGTGCGTGTCGTGCAACCTGCAGTCCTGGAACCCAACAAGTTTCCGGCTCAAGAACGAGCTTGCGCTTTACGAGGCCCAAGAGTTGCCCGAGGTCCACCTCAAACGAGTTCGCGTTTCCGTCGCCAAAGGAAGCGTTGCGACTAATGACTAATGGGGTTGTGGGCTGTGCATTTGAGGGTTTGTAGCTGGGGGATGCGGGAGTTGGGATTTCAAGAGTTGTTCGCCAGAAACTGCAGCTCAAGAGTCGTGATTTGGAGTTGGCAGTTAGGTGATTTTGAAGAGTCGTACAAGTCAAGTTTTATACTACATATATATATATATACACACTATAATCCAAGCACAAAGAAGCCTGACTTCTTCCTGTTCCAAGCTTGATATGCCAAAACAAAATACATCCAACCTTCCTGAAACCTCCCACAGAAAAGTAGGGCAGGCACATGGCTGTGGCTAGGGAAAAGCTGCAAACAGTTGTGATCGTGGTTCCAAACGTAGAAGTCGTCCAGGAAAATGAGCAAACACCACATGACAGCGCCAAGATTTTGAACGAAAAGGCTTCTACCGACCCTCTCTTGATGTTCCCCTTCCTTTAAGGGTCGTTGGTCTTCAATTTGTCTGCCCCTGGCTAACATTCGCAAGAATGCTGTCTTGACAAGAATGGTTTCTAAGCTTAAGCTGGGGCGGTTGAGGTTGTGGAGTTGACGCCTCTCAACTGGAGCCTTTCCCTGCCCCACAGCCTCACCCTGAACTTGTTTATGAAGCGCAAGGACAGCTGCGCTTATGAGCCTGGGCCAATCCAGCGGCTGGAGTTTCCTCGCGATTACTGGAAGACCGGAACACCGGCTGGCATTGGTCCATCGTTCTCCTAGAACCCTAAAGTTACATAGTTGATCCAATCATCGGACAGCATTTTAAGCATCACCATCGTCACATATATATATATGATATATGTATAATATGTGAAGAACTGATCTTCTTGACTTCAAATAAATCCTCAGTCGACATGTCGCCAGTGACCCACATCTTGACAACCCATGGGCTGTGATCAACCATACACACGACAACCGAGAGCATGTAATGGAGTAAGCACAACTGAACTGAATGATGGTGGAAGAAATGCCTACCAGTACTTGTCAAAGGGATCTATTCTATCGCATAGCTGAAAATCTGGGGTGTACGCCTCCACGCAATTCACAAAAGTGCAGTTGCAGCACCCATTGAACACTTCACCAACACTTTAAGTCTTTGCCGAACTTGCATGTGATTTCCATGTTGATCCAGATCCTTAACACAACGCAGAAACGAACAACAAAAAGCATCAAAATGGGTCGGCCAGTTTTGGGTGCTTCTCCACGCCGCGCTGCGTGCACCTGGGGAAGCCCTAGGCTTTGGAGCCATCCCCAAGTTGATGAAATTGGAAATGGATGTGCCCCACCCAGGCTTTGAGTTGAATACACCTCTGGCATCAAAATCAACCTGAGTCAACTTGCCTGGGCACAGCAATATGTTGAGAGTGAAACGAGACCAACACACAAACTCAACATGATGGGTTATCATACGATAAGGCAGGTTGCCGCCAGTCTAGCCAATTGAGAGTGAAACAGGATTGGTAACATTCGTGTAAGGGTTGCCACCACGAATGGCTTCTGGAGCCTCAAATCCACTGGCGCATGCAAGCGCAACTGCCTCGTCTTGGTCAACACCATCTCCACTCACACCCACCGCGCCGATGAGCTGTTTCTGCTGATTATACAAGGGAATGCCTCCAGGAGAAGTGATGATCCCTCGTGCATCCTTCAACGCCAGCGGCCGATTGCTGTCAGCGATGCCAAAGAATGGCTGGCCTTCACCCGCAAGTTGCCCAATAGCCCTGGAAGTAAGGGCATTTTCGTTGGAACTGAAGCCAAGCGCTGTGAAGGCCTTCCCTTTGGCCATGTCCAAGCTGCCGTACCACGCAGTGTCTGCCTCAGGGGTGGAGCACTTTCAGGCCTGCAATGATCATGCTTCATCATGCTTCTGCTTCTGACTTGCTACAGTGTCTTGTGACTTTCTACAGGATCTTTATTGCCACCGTCCAGGCGATAAAAGCACAACAGCACTCAAACGCTCCTTGCGAGCTCCAAGGTTCACAAGGGGAACAAAATTCCATGGATCTTCGCGAGGCATAATCACTACTTGCATGACCACTTTCATCGGGACACCACTGGCATTCTTTCGGAAAGCAGAGTCAATCATGGCCACGGCCGCTTCGCAGTTCTTGGCAATTTCAGCCCCTGCTTTCATCGACAAAGATGGCACCACCTGTGGGTCGAACAGCGTGGCTGAGTCAACTCTCCCCCTGAGTACTGTGAGATAAGTTACAGTACTACGTCCACCTTGGTTGACCTACCGGCGATACTTGCGACTGTCTGAACGCGCATCTCAGGGTCCTTCTGCTCAGCAGTGTACCCGGGGTTTTTGGTATATACCCTCTACATGTCAGGATATGAACAAAAATGGGATACTATACAGGTGAAACCGAATCTCCGCGCTGCATGAATGGATAGCCAAGATTGGTTTCAAGGTTGTAGCGTCAAGCTACATTGGTGTTGGGGCTCCAGGTTTTGACCCATCCCCATTTACCTCAAATGGTATGGCAAATCCCCAGCAGTCCTCGGCATGAGGCTTGGTGCGGGCTCCATTCGCTTGCGCACCATTTTCTCTGGCTTGCAGGAAGGAATATTCATCACACACGTCGGTTGCAGTTGCAGCAATGGAAGCAGCAGCAAGTAAGCACATCAGGAGTCTCGTTGCCATTGATTGCAAACTATGACACAAGGCGCCACAAACACTACTTACAGAAGGCATCCATGCATGCAAAAACCAAACAACTGGTCAACGAAATCCATGCAAGGTGCAGCGTGCATTATTGTGAACACATGTGAAAAGTGAAATAGACTCAAACACCACGTGTCATCCATTGTCATCCCACATTGCAAAAAAGGCAACCAAAGGCAACCTGTTTCATCTAATCTGGCTTGATGATTGAAACTATGAAAAGTGTTGACAATGTGTGGACGTGTGGATCAGTCTGTCAGAATTGGTAAGGTGCAGCTAGGAGCAACATGGCAAGTCACTCACAACTAAAACATCAATCTCCATCTCCATGGTGTGATTTCTGTTAAGCCATGGTCATCATGGTGCATACACGAACGCCAGTTGAACGCGACACCCCTTCTTCCAGAACTCACTGTGCCCGGTTTTTCTCCCCTGAGCGTGTGGCGCCAAGGATGTGACAAGAAGTCGCCAACGACGGCGCAAAGGCTGTGCCGTCTCCTGCGGAAGACGTGGAGGCTGATCATATGACTTAGTCACTGAGTGCGGCGGCTAAGCATGCAGCCCTTCACGTGGGCGCCGCTGGAAAACCTCGCCTGCACCTTGGGGCCTAGATGGCGTAGAGAGGGATGTGAATACTTGTTGAAGGGGTTGAAGGGCTATCTAGTGTTAAAGTCTTTTTTGCTTAGTTGGTTTTGAGTGATCTGCGGGGCGAGGGCGAACCCATTCCGGTCCTTCGGGGTCCGGCGTTTCTCCGGGTTTGGGGTTTATTTTCTTGATTTTTGCTTTGCATGGTTTATGGGGAGAACGGGAGCATGCGACTCCTGTCGGTTTTGGTTCAAGGGACGTTGAGCTTCCCCCCGCGGGCGGCTCTTCCCTTGGCGACCGGCAGGGGAATACGGTAACGTGGTTGACCCTAACGTTATCGTGGGTGAGCTGGGTAGGCTTCTTTGCGGGCTGGTCTGTTTGGGTCCTACGGTGTCATCCCAGAAGGTTGGCCAGTTTGACGGGTGTTCTGTTGAGAGGTCGAGTCCACCATGGCTAGGAAGAACCGTTGGTGTGGGGGATCAGCGGCTGTTTGTCTTGCTCATGGGGAGAGGCATCTGGCACAAGCAATGTCACAGCCCTCATATGTAAGTAAAAGTAGGGTGCAAAAACGAAGATTTCGTCAGCAATTTAGATTACAGGCTCGGAGGCGAAAGTTGGCCCAACTTAAGAAGTACACTTGTTCAAACAGAGCTCGGGAACGGCGGGTTAAGCTTTTAGCTGCCCAATGCAAGGCGGCCCGTAAGTTGAAGCTCTTGACATGGAACACCCGGGGGTGGGGGGCGGTCTACTCGCAGTTTGATCCTGTGGTACGGACCCGGAACATGTTGGATTTTTTGGATTCGAAGGGAGTGGGGCTTGCGGTTCTTACTGATGTTAAGTTTCCTGTCCAAGGACTTCGGAAGTTTCAGAGTGAAGCACAAGCATGGATGGTTCTACGGGTATACCAGCCAGGCGCTAGGTGCCCGGGCTCCCAAGTGGACGCCGAATGACAGCTACATGCTTGTCAACAGGTGGCGGGGGTGGCAAGGGCGGCAAGGGCCGCAAGGGCAAGAAGTAAAGTGCGCTCTGGGAAGGGGCTTGTGCATATTCTCCAGTTGTCCATACACACCTTTTCTTTTTTTCTTTTTGTTTATTGGCCAACGCCTTCGATGCATCCTGAGATGGAGCATGTTGGGGTCAGATCTTCCATTCTCAATTGTTTTTCGTGGATCCGTTGTCTTTGTGGATTTTGATGAGTTGTTTAGTGTTATGGTACACCCTAACTGGTTGTGGCAAGGGATGGCCGGTGCGCCATGGGACTAGTTTGAGGTTTGGCGGACATGGCGTCTTTGCTTTGGGCCACCTACACCGCGCTGATCTTCTTCTTCTAGTCACTGAGTGATGATATAGCTGGATGACTTCTTCCACTTGTACAGACATGGGAGTTCTAATCAAAGTTGCAATTAATTTGCTAAGCGAGATGAAACTGAAATATTAATATAAGTGCTCCGCCAGGGATGGAAGGTCAACTGGGGGCTCAGGACTTACGGTGTAAGCAGGCAGGCATCGCAGCATTTTTTTTTCAAACATATTAACTTTTCAAGCAACATGGACAGTGACAAAGAGGCTGGCCCAAACTTTTCCATGTGCATGTTGGTCAATGGATGGTTTGCAAACCAGTGCAGACCTATGCAAAGAAAACAGCCGCTATGCGCCGTTCCAGGCCGTGCCTGGTCCTTTGCCAAAAAGGCCTCCTCATCCGTGGTATCCATGAGTGTCGCGCCTCCCGTAGCAGGGATGGCCACCGGTCTCACTTCCATCCCATCCCTTCTAGGTGACTTGCCGTATCTTGCCGTCTGACTGCCATGCGCACCTGATTAGGCCAAAGTTAGGGACTTCGAAGCTGGAAAGAAGCTGCGAGGCACACAGCGACTGGTTTGGTCGAGCGACGATTCCTCAAGGTTTACTGACTCAAAATCCCTAAGAGAATGGGTCCTTTACAAAGAATGTTGATTTCTGGTTTATGGTTTTACAGTTTTACCCATGACCAAGAGTCCAGTCTGTAATATAAAACACTTCATTGAAATGGCCCAGCAATGCGATGACAGTCCCTTCAGTTAAATTCAATGGAATCCAAGACCATCTCTGATTGACCCATCAATGTGATTCGCACAAACATATTGGGCTTGGTTAGGGCTCAAAGCACAACAGGAGGGAAGGTTCCGGGACAAGGTCACGTCGACAACGATGTCCATCTTTTCGACGGCCCCGGCGGTGCAGTTCACTCCGACCTGTCCCAGCTTACACAATCTTGAACATCTTCACTGGGATGCCTCTCATGCGGACGGTCTTAAGCAGCTCGGTGCACGGCAAAAGCGGTGCAGAGTGGGATGCCTCTCAAAATGTTAGATTGGCTTCAGCCTGTCCAAGCTTGCTTTGATTTCTCATGAGGCCAAAGCATGAATTCTGTTCTGCTCTATATTGAAGAACGCGTCGGCTTCCAATGCCAAGGATCTCGACACAAGGTTCGTTTTGTGAAGGTTGAATGCCCCAAGTCGGTTCCATAATTGATGCAGGACATTGCATCGATGCGCCAAAAATACATACATCCGCTCAATTCCAGAGACTACAAACTACAAACACACCTATCGCAAGACAGGTGTCACTCACACTGTTCACTGTAAGGAATTTTTGCATCCCCTTCATTTGCTGCGCAGAACCTTCGTGATCATCCATCACTAAATGGTGGGATGTCGGAAGTGGAGCATGAGCACATTGACTTCCATGAGAAAACCGTTCAACAACCCTTATCAAGGCAAACCTGGATTGGAGTCTCTGCTCAGTCAGAAGCAAAGGCCCTCGTAGAACTGGCACATCACGGACAGTATCATGGAGCATAAGCAAAGCAACTTGTGATTAGACAAGTCTCATTTGTGCTGCTCACAAAGCAATTTGGTGTCAGCTTGCTAATTTGTCTCACATGCCAAGCGAAGCCGGGAACCCTGCCAGGTCAGGTGTTGCGCATCAAGTTCTTGCGGCAGTTCATTCGGCAGCCTTTCGAGATCTTCGTCCCGACGCGTTTCAAACGCCAAGGCATGCCAGGGCGTGCCGCATGACCAGCACTTTGTGGACAATAGTTACAATAGCTTAAAATGTCACCCGGCTAAGCAAGCTGAGTGCAAACTCGCATCACACACAGTATTCAACATGGCAAGAAGGCCTCAATCTGTCCACAAACAAAGGTATCTTGACTGCAAGTAAAAAGTGCAGGAAAAAAAGGTTTGCCAGTCTGCCTTGCCACGTATCCAACGGTGAATCGAGGATTGATGCTGTTCACAGAGAGGATGGATTGGACACGTTTCCAAAGCAAAGTTTCTTCAGTGTCTGAGCCTTCTGAACGGTTCGAGATACGTGGCTATGAAGAGCTCCAAGTTTTGTACACGAAAAACATCAAAAAACATAGAGACGGGGACACTTCAATGTCAAAACGCCTCAACAGCAATGCCAACTGACAGGAAAACACTCGGCCAGCAAGCAAACCAGGCGGAGCGCCACTTACTGACTTAGTGTCCCCCAGCAAGAAAGGCTCTTGGCAAACCAAAGATGCTCGGCAATCATGCTTCCTTTCAGACTGGATTAGATAACGTCAACACACACAGCAGTGAAGACGGGAAGTGTCAAGCATGGCCTGCCTTTGCAAGCCTGTCGTAACTTGCACCTCCTGGACAACAGACTGAGGCTTCACAGCAGTTCGATGCATGAGGCTGTGGCGAGCTCCAAGTTTTCAACAGGAAAGCCATATTAATCGGAAGGCTTCCATGTCAGAACGCCACAGCAGAGCAATCTGACAAGAAAACACTCGGCCAGCAAGCAACCAGGAGGGGGTACCACTTACTGACTTGGTGTCCCCCAGCAAGAAAGGCTCCTGGCAAACCAAAGTTGCTCCGAAATATTGCTTCCTTAGAAACTGGATGAGATAACGTCAAAACACACAGCAGTGAAGACGGAAAGTGTCAAGAATGGCATGCCTTTGCAAGCCTGTCATAACTTGCACCTCCTGAACAACAGACTGAGGCTTCACAGCCGTTCGATACATGTGGCCGTGGAGAGGTGCAACATGTGCACAGGACATGCATATCAACCGGAAGGCTTCCATGTCAGAACGCCTCAACAGCAAAGCATCTGACAAGAAAACACTCTGCCAGCAAGCAAACCAGGCGTGGCGCC